CGAGGCACCTCAGGGAATGTGTCGTTGAACTCGCTCACCGTTTCCGTGTGACAGCCAGGACACAGAGGGTCGAGCGGGGACGTCGGGCTGGGACAGCGGCGGCCTGGCTGTTCGATGTCGCATGCACCCTGCTGTGGCGTGTACGTAAGGGTGCAGCAACCACGAGGACTGCTGTGAAGACGGAGCGGATGGATATAAACTGTCACCTGCCAAGCAGGCCTGGCCCACGGGAGCCCCCAGCAGCTGATGCTGACGGTGACAGGGTCGCCCTGAGGGTGGTCATGACCACCTTCTGAGGATCACTGTGAAGACTTAATGACGTGATGCACACCAAGCCCTGGAGACTGTGGCACTCACAAACGACTTGCGAGAGGTCGTGAAACTGGAAAAGCCAGCGTGCCCGCTGGCTGTCACCACCAGAACCGGTGAGTGGAGGGAAGGACTGAAACCTTCACAGGTGCTTTATTCAGACGCCAGCGATCTGGGAAGACGGTGGGTTCCCTCCATGTGACCCCGCCCCAGATGTCAAGTGTCTTAACACCTCGTCCCCAGCCGGCCTGTTTCTAGGGAGAGAACGGGTGGGGCAGGGGTTTGGGGAAAGTTCCATCGGGTGAGAGTCGCAGTCCCAGTGTTTGTCTGCGGGTCAGCAGGTCTGCGTCCGCGTCACAGCCGTCGCTCCCGGGACACAGCGGCTCAGACACCCCCGGGGCTGGAAGGCTGCGCATCAGACCTCCTGGGGTCACAGGTCCCGCGTCCTGGTTCCTGGAATGGCAGCTCTCCCGGAGCATTAGTCACTCAAATGCCCACCGACCGAGGCTGAACTCCTTAACCCTGGAGTTCCCCACCACACAGACAAGGCCGTCAGCCCCCAGCAGCCACCCTCTGCAGCGAACCCACAGCACGGCCCCCTTTGTGTTTGGAACTGGGAAGGGGCAGAATCGGCCCAAGCTGGAAACCCGCGTCAGAAGGAGAACAGTGTCTGGGAAAGCTCCCGGCCTGACACAGAGCTTCGCTCCTGTGGCTGCTTCTGCTGGCGACCCTCTGGGAGGGACAGCTGTCCTCCAGGGTCAGCTCCACCCGTGCTCGGGGCCAGCCTGCCCTTGGCCTCCACGCCTGGTGCCGTGGTTGGGGGGTGCCCAAGACTCTCCGTGCTGCTCTGGGGTCCATCGAGGTGTGAGGTTGGCGGCCGACTGCACTTTGAAGTGTCAGCCTCGCACGTCACTGTTTGATGGAGGAGCCCTCCCAAGGCGTCTTCTTTCAGTCTCGTGGGTGTTCGGAGCCACTTCTTGTTTCCTCTGTTTGCTTGTTTTGCCTTTGGAATGTGATCCATTCAAACGGGTTCAGGGCATAAAGTACAGTGAAAAATCTCCCCCGCCCCCACCCCTGCAGCCACCAACCCCCACCCCCTCCCCGCCCCCCAGCCACAAGCAAAATGACGGAAGCCGTTTCTAGCACCTTCCGGAGACGGGCCGCACGGAGGCAAGCAGGCACCCCGGTATATTCTTTTTTCTTCTTTAAAGTATAAAGTGATGTGTTTATTTTTACAAACAAAAGTTAGTATCATTTTCTCGAACCCCACCCCACCGAAGAACTGTTGGAACCTGGGCTGAAACAACGTTAAACTCACACGTGGGTCTGTGTGCTAATCGGGACGGTCAGGCTGCTCGGCCCCCCTGCTGAGAACCGACGTGGGCCCTCGTGCGTTCGGCGCGTCCGTGACTCCCTCAGTCCGGTCCTGTCCTTCTCCTCGTCCACGTGCTGAACACACGTTCCCGGGGTTTGATGTTCTCATCGCAGCGAGTTGCTGTGATGAGCTATTTTCACCGTGACGAGGGAGGTGAGTGTTGGCCGTCGGTAGAACTGTCACTGACACCGTGACCGGCTGGTGTACCAGGAGCCAGCGCTGTCCTGCGGCGGGGTGGCGGCGAACTTCAGGGCCGTTCTGGGTCTCAGTTCCTTCGAAAATGCTGCTCAAAATTCTGCAACCAAAACTTTTGTGCTGCAAACACAGAAGAGCGGACTCACAGCCTTCCCGCAGACCAACCACGGGCCTCTGACGCCAGCCACCGAAGCTCACAGACCGCTGACTCTGCTCGCAGGAGGTCCCCAGGAGCCGGCAAACCCCCAGAGCCGGGAGGGGGAAAGCTGGTCTCCAGGGGCCGGGGCCGGGGCCGGGAGAGGAGACAGGGAGCTGCTGCCTGAGAGCCACGGGGTCTGAGCTTGGGAAGGTCAGAGGAGCGCCGCAGGTGGCGGTGGTGGCGGTGGCGGCACAGCGGTGTGACTTCGCAGTGAGCCACTGAGCCGGGCACTGGAGAGTAATTAAAATGGCACATTTGTGTTGGGTGTATTTATCACCATTATTCTAAACAATCTTTAAAAGAAAGCTTTTCAAGTATCTCAAGGCCCCAGTCATAACCCTGGGAACTAATCTCTAGAGTAAACACAGCTGTCCCCATTCCCTGTGGGTCACCTGACCTCAGGTCCCTCCGCGCCCCATTCGCCACACTGACTGCTGCATGTCCTCCACCCGGAGCCCATCAGTCCACGGGCTGCAGAGCCCAGCGTGGCCCTGGCCGGCTGAGACTGAAAAATGCCCCTCCCTCGGTCTGGCAACTAGGCCGTCACCGATGCCGCCGTCACTCCGACCGCTTTATCATCACCTTCCCAGGGCTCTGGCTGCCGCCAAGGCCCTGGGCCCTCTGCCCTATGTCACCACTGAGACCTGTGTCCAGGCGGAGCTGTTTCAGTTACTAACGAAGACACACGCTGTGGGCACCGACCGGCTCGAGCACAACAGGGTACTGTTGTCACCTGTGACTGGCCCGGACACGGGTGTGCGGCAGGTGGGGCCTGTTCGGGCAGTGGGGCCAGGTCTCGGGGACCTCCTCACCTTAGCCTGGCTCTGCTCCTCTCTGGGGGCCCTGACTTTCAGGCCCTGCCCCCACGAGGCGGCTGGGCCTGTCGCCCAGGTTCACAGGTGGCAGGAGAAGGGAGGGCTTGGCTCCTGGAGGCAACCTGGACTCGCCCCCGTTAGAAGCCTCAGAGGGACGCGTCCCTGGCCAGTCTCTGGGCCCAGGGTGACCTTGGTGCTCAACGGCTGGTTCTTGGTCATGTCTGCCGCCCCGAGCGGAGATGCACCAGCTCCCCTGAGTCAGCCCCATGACGAAAGTGGAGAAGGGGTGGCCCCCAGGAAACAATCAGGCGAGGGTCCCCAACGGGGTGAGGGGTGGCGAGCAATGAAGACGATGGATCCGCCGCCCTTCAGGGAGTTTGGACGGCACGTCTGGGGCCGAGACAGCGCCCAGGTCGTGTCTAACAAACACGGTCCTTCCAGAACCCTCTGAGGAAGTCGTTTTGGGTCCTGACTGTTTCTCTCGGTTGTGTGTGCCCCACGTGTGAGGAGCCTGCAGACCTGTCACACTCTAGCGAACACGCTGCGAACCTGTGTGTGCACAGTCACGTCAGCACGCCCTGGGAAGTGTGAACAGGCACCGGCTGCTCAGCCACCCCCGGGGGCTTCCTGCCCAGGCCCCGCCGCCGGCTCCTCTGGGTGTCGCCGGACAGGCACCGGGCCCACCTTTGTCCTGGAGTCCAGTTCTGTCCGTCGTCCCCAGAGCCCTGTCGAAGCCTGCGCAGGGCTGGCCACACACCACGCTGTCCTAGAAGCTCAGGGGAGTGGCCCGTTCACTCCGCCACAAGTACAGAGACAGGCGGCCGTCCCCTTGGCAGCTGAGGAAAAGGGACCCGAGGCTGCAGGGTGGGAATGGGCCCAGATGCTCACAGCCAGTGGTCACACGCCAGACCGCGGAGGCCAAGCCAGTGGCGGCTCTCGCCTCAGAAGTGGCCCTGGCCCTCCTGGCCCTCACCTCCCACTACCAGTGCCCCCCCCACCCCCGGGCAGGTGTCCGGTGAGTCCACTTTAGAAACATGGCAGTGAGACCCCTGTGGCGGCCGCGGCGGAGCAGCCGCACGCTGCACAGGGCGGTGTGCTGGCCCCGCTGGACCGCTTTCAGTCACTGGCTCCCTGGCTCCTCCTGGGCCGGGCCAGGGGCGGCAAAACCCTCACTGACGTCCCAGGGGCCAGACCCCTGCCAGCGAGGGGCCGGTCGGAGTGGTGAGGCTTCTCTGGCGTAACATCCACGTTGGGGGAAAAACTCAACTTGAGGACCTTCCTCCCACGTTGTCCCCAACGATGGCTGTGTGTGGGGAGAAGCCTTGTGAGTGGGGGCTGGGCGCGGCGTCACACCGCGGGGTCCCTGTGAGTGGGACTGGCCCCCAGGCCCCCCGATGCTGCCCGGGCGTGCTCGAGTTCCACCGTCACCGCTGGTCCAGGCAGAGGTGCCTTACGGGTGGCACCGAAGTCAGAGGACTTGTCCACAACTCTGCTCCTTCCTGGGTCGCCTGTCCTGAAACCCCAGCTGCCCCCGGGAGGGGCCTTTGTGAGGGGCGACATGCAGGGATGAGGCAGGGCTGAGAACGAGGCTCGGCCCCGGGGGCGGGGTCTCTGGGGGCCCAGAGAGGGCGGGAAGGGCTTCTCGCTCCCTTTTCCCCACCAGCTCCTGTGGGGGCATCTCCCAGCACAGGGGGCGGGGGGCAGGTGGGGGTCAGGGGAAACTATCAGCAAGGGTGGGCCCTCGGGGTGCAGAGCAGGCCAGGGAGAGGGTAGGGGGCACAGCTGGAGGAGAGCCACTAAAAGGGAAAGTGACAAGTTCCAGATAGAAAGCCACTGTGGCCTCAGATTTCGTGTAGCCCGACGCCTGGAGGGAGTGGTGAAGCCTCAGGGCACGACTGGTGCCCACGGCTCCTTCCCAGTCCCGGTGACACTGCCCCCCCCCCCGCCCACCTTTGTCGGGAAGCGGTGTGGGTGCCAGTGAGCCGCTGACTCAGCCCTCTGCCTGCCCACGGAGAGGAGCTCATGAATCAGCCGTACGGTGACCCGTGGGTGCTGTCCTTTCAGTGACCCCACGCACACTGAGGGTGTCTCTGTTTGAGTCACGCAGGCGAGTCACTGGAGGAAGTGGACCTGACCCTGGTCTACCAGGCGGCAGCGAGCGGCGACGTCCGGGCTCTGACCGCCGCCATCCGGGAGGACCCGTCCGTCCTCGAGTGCTGTGACGGCGAAGGTGAGCCTGCGCCGGGCCCGCGGGCTCTGCCCTCGGACGGGGCGGCCCGTCAGCAGCGGGCGGGCCCCGGCATCTCTTTCAAGGAGGGTTTCGGGCACAGAGGGGCAGATTCCTCTGCGTCTCCTCTTCTAGTGAAGCCAGTTGGTTCGACTTTGCCTCCAACTTCTCCGTCCCAATGTTGAAGGTAGTGGGCGGAGACAAGGGGTGGGAAGGGGGGCACTTGCGCAGGGACGGATGTGGGTAGCGTCACGGTTACCAGAAGACAGACAGCAAGGGCGTCTGCCTGCGAGAGGATGGAGTGGAGGTGCTTCCGTCCGCCCTGCCGGCTAAACACGGCTACGAGTCCCCGGTGTCACACACAGGGAACCCAAGAGCACTCTGCGGGGCGCAGATAAAATGGCAGCCTGTCTGGGCCTTAGTCCGTGGTGGCAGGTTTCTTGGGTTTGGCCTCCGCTAACCTCGACTCGGGGCTGAAGAAGCCGGAACCCAGGGGAGCGAGAGGCGCAGACCAGCAGCCCTGAGGGGAGCCTGCTCTCCCAGCCAAAGAACCAGAGAGGAGCCGCCTGCGAGACAGGGAATCTCAGACAACAGCAACTCCATTCCAGCCAGACACACACACACACACACACGGCCCCGCCCCACCTGCCCCACCTCCACCTGGTGGGAACCAGGTCCCCTCCCCGCCCTCCCTGTGGTGCTGGGGCCAGAGGAGGGGTCTCGAGGAATGGGACTTGCACCGTCAGCCTGCGATCATGACGCGTCTTCCCCCTCGGAGGGCTAAGGAGGGAGCCTGGACCCCCGTCCCTCCAGGCAAAAACGAGGGGCTCTCCCGCTTCCCCTTCGGAGTAGTGTCAGCGAAGCCAAAGAAAATGGAGGCATAAGGAAGATTAAGGGACTCATAACACTGAACTCAAACATCCAAGTTTCAATAGAAATCACTTGTCACACCCAGAAGACCTCAAACTGAATGAAAAGGGGGACAATTGATGGATGTCAATCAGCACTGAGGTGACAGATGCTGGAATTATCTGACAGATTGGCAAGTGGCCACGAAAAAAAATGCTTTGGTTACAATCGTGCTTGGAACAGGTGGGAAACCAGAGGCCTCGGCAAAGACCTAACAGACAGAAAAGCCAGGTGGGAGTTTCTGGAACTAAAAAACACAATAATCACAACTGAAAACTCAGTGGATAAGCTCTAGCTCCTCAGCAGAAGTGAGCCAAGCTGACCACTGAAGTAAGATTTCAAGAAAGAACCAAAGAACCAAAGAAGAGAGCCTCGGGGCCTATGGAGACGAACGGGGTCTGTCCCTGGTTTCTCCTTCCCAGCGCTTCTGCAAAGTCATTACTGATTTCTGACCCGCTGACCTTCCCAAAGGAGGTTTGGATTCCCTTCTCACGACAGCAAAGTGTCCTGTAGAGTGCTGGTCCCTAATGTATCTGTGGTGTTAATTTGTCTGTTTTTAAAGCAGACTTACCTGTGCATCTGTCTTGGCGCTGGCCGTAGAAGTGAGGAGAGTCAGAGGTTAAACGGCCCTCGTGTGACAAGTGCAAGGGCCAGACTGCTGGAGTTCAGGCCCAACTTGAACTGACTGAACGGGAAAGAGGAGACAGCTAAAGCCATGCCGAGAGGGAGACTCACAGCACTGCCGCTAGGAAAGAGGAGAAGCATCGGTCCGCAGTCTCAGTTCTTGCCTCAAGAACTGACCGAAATAATCCCAAAGCAAATGAAAGGAAAGAAATAATAAAGACTAGGGAACAATGAACTTGAAAACAGAATAGCAACAGAAAAATCAATTAAATAAGGAACTGATCTTTGAAAAGACCAGTAAATTGACAAACTTCTAATAACAGTACCGACAAAAGGAAAATGAAAGAAGATACAAATCTCCACTCTCGGGAAGGAAACCGAAGGTACCACTGTGGACACAGAGACACCTGAAGAGCAGAAGAGAAACGTACCCGGCAGCTCCGCATGCAGAAGTGTTAGTCTTTAGATTAAACGGGTCAACTTGGTGAAAAGATTAACCACCACCATCGAATGGGAAATAGGTCAGTTGGATAGGCCTGCGGCTACTAAGGAAATTAAATTCCTAATGTTAAAATTCTTAGACAAAGAAATCTTTAGGCCTAAATGCTTCCACTAAATACTTCTACAAACTTTTAGATAATAATTAATATCAATTCTATATAATTTCTTGCAGAACAGATAAGAAAGGGAAACTTTTCTCAGGTATGCTTATGAAATCAGACGAAGATGATATAAAAAATAAACCTACAGTCCAATCAATACTCCTCCTAAATATACAGATATCCTTGGCAAAATGTTAGCAAATAGGATTTGGTAATACATATGAATAAAGAATTATACACTGTAACCAAGTGAGGTTTGTTCTAGGGATCTGTCTTGTTCGATATTTGAAAAATCAGTCAATGCAATACATCATATTAACCAGCTTTAAAAAAGACCACACAGACATATCAATTAATGCATAAAAAGCACGTGACAGAATTTAACACACATTCATTAAAAACTCTCTGAAAATAGGAGAAGAGGGGAACTTCCTCAGTGCGCTGTCTAGAGCTGATAGTTCGCTTCCCAGTGACGAACTGGACACTTTGCTCCCAAGTCGGGAACCAACCGACGGGGTCCACTCTCACTCATGGCGGGGGAAGTGCTAGTCAGCACACAAAGGCAAGAAACCATAGGAAGCCTACATATTGAGAAGGAAAAAATAACTGTTCCTTTTTGCGTGGCTTGACTGTCGACACAGAGAACCCTAGAGAACCTACCAAAAACTTCTCCAGCTGAGTGAGTTCGGCACCGTCACGGGGTGTAAGATGAACACATGAAAACAGACTGCATTTATTCGTGCACCACAACCCAAACCGCAGCGCCATTCAGTGACCCGCACAACACAAATACTCAGGTGCGACCGTGACACACTGGTTGTAGGACCTGCACCCTGAGAGCTGTGAATGCCGGTGGACAGACCTGGGGGCGGTCTAAACAACTCGGGAGGCAGACCAGGTTCACGGGCAGAAGACTCAGCGCAGTGAACACGAAAGCCGCGCAGATGCGTACACTGGCCCGAGGCGATTCCTATCAGAACCAGCAAGATCGCCGCAGATCTAGACGAGCTTGTCTGAAATCCACACAGAAAGGCACGTGGGGTGGGTAAGAGGAATTCGGGGAATGAAGAACGCAGAGGGAGGAGTCGGCCCTCGCCCGTCCAAGGCGCCACGTGGCTGCGCGCACCAGTGGGGTCGCAGAGGACAAACGCAGGTCGATGGGACACAGCAGAACTCGGGACACCCAGGCGTTTCCGCCAACCTATCACCGCAAAACCCCCCGTGCCCATGGTCTGGGGAAAGGGCCGGGGTCACGTACCTGTCGCGGCATGACTCCCTCTGCCCGGGCAGCCAGCAGCTGGGTTTGGGCGGAGGGCGGCGTCGGTCGGCAGAGAGCGCGCGGAGGAGCGCGCAGGCCCCGGGTCCTGAGCGCCGTGGGCCGTCTCGTTGCAGGGTGCACGCCGCTGATGCACGCCGTGTCCGGGCGCCAGGCGGACACGGTGAGGCTGCTGCTGAAGATGGGCGCCGACATCAATGCCCAGGACGCCCGCGGCCGCACCAGCCTGTGCCTGGCGGCCTACCTGGTACGACCGCGTCCGCTGGGGCCCAGGGGGCGGGTGGGTGGTCGGGGCGCCTTGACGGGGCTCAGCGGGGCCGGGAATCTGAACTTGAAGCTCTGCATCAGTCCTCCCTGTCGGCTGCATCACCACTTAGAGCTGGTGGCGGGGACTCCGGTCCCTTCAGCCCTTCCTGACAACCCCCCAAAGCTGAGATGGCGATGCCGGCGCTCTGACAGGCACAGCCTTTTTCATCGAAATGCCCCGTGGGCATCTCTGGTCTCCCTGGTGCCCATTCTGAGGGGCCCCCCAAGGGGGCGGCACCCTTGTGGCTGCTGTGAGGACTGCGGGTGGGATGAGCGGAGTGGCAGGCGGAGGGTGAGCACCTCTCTCGCTGTGGGGAGGGCAGGAGTTGGGGGGAGAGACACCAGGCGCCCGAGGGCCGCCCCCGGCCTAGGGCCCCACCCACAGTCAGCATTCAGGTTAAAACCTGTGTGGGGCCGCCCTCGCCTCCGGGTGGGGGGAGGGGGTTCAGTCCACGTTTTCCGCTCTCAGAGAAAGCCTGGGGGGCCTTCCGGAAACTGCCGGCCCTGGCTCTCGGAGCCTCCTCGACACCCTCTGGGAAGCCCCACTGCAGGTCAAACAGGGTCTCCTTAGCGCCCCATGATGTCACTGTCCTCCCTCTTCTCCACCGTCACCACCGTGGCTGCCGCAGCGGCTTCATGCAGTTGCTGGTGCTGTCCCTGGTGGCGGTGGACTCATTCTGGGTCCCCCGACTCCTGACCCCCCACGCCCAGGCTGCACCTGCGTCAAAGTAGGACCCCTCCCTCCCCAGCACCGCAGGGCTGCGCTCTGCGTGGGCGCTGCGACCCGGCCTTGGGCTCAGATTCTCTGCACGAACCGCTTTCTCTCCGCCTGTTCACAGGCCCCTTCCTCCAGGGCTCTCACGGGGGCCCCAGGGAAACTCTCCAGTGCTGCAGTTCCCGGGAGGGCGCCCTGGACCTCCTGGGTGGGGCCCGGGAGGGGGCAGCGGGCCGTGGGGCCTGTGTGCCAGACAGCGCTCCCCGGCAGTTTGCCTGCCCACTCGTGTTCGGAACCCCCAGCCCCAACTCCAGGGTGAAGTTCCCCATCTCAGACGCTGGACGGCACCCAGGGCCCCCCCTCCGAGCGCCTGCCCGCACAGTTGTTGGCATCTCTGAGCAGAGGAAAGGGGGAAATTTGGGTCCAGGCCGGGGGAGGCTGTACAGCTGGCTCTGCAGCACCCGGGGCAGAGGGAGACCGGGCCGCACTCCCTCCCCAGTTCTGAAGTCCAGCCTCTCCTGGGCCACACAAGTGCTTACGGGACTGGGAAGAGGTCGCTCCGCTGTGTCGCAGCGACCGTGAGCCCAGGGACCGGCCGCCTGGGGGGTCAGCTCTTCCGGGGACGAGTTCTGCAGAGACACCTGAGGGGAGCGTGTCTGCAGGCCACAGTGTGGCACCGCCCACCCACTTAGCGATGCCCCCACCGCTGCGTGGCCCCCCAAGGCAGGCCTCTTCCCTACACTTCCCGGGGCCCCCTGCCCCCGGCAGAGTGTGAGCTCCAGTATTACAGACACTTGACAAGGGGGCCTCAGGAATGAAGTCTCAGCTGCAGTTCCAAACTCAGGGTACAGGCAGGTTCGCCACAGTCCTGGGACCACAGCCAAGTCGCTGCCTGTCTCTGTGCCTCTTTCCTCGCTAGTGAACCGGGTGGAAGCGGCAGCCTGGGGGCAGCCCGTGGGGGCAGAAACGTGCGGGCCCCTGGTCAGTACAGGGCGGGCGGTGGGGCTGGGAGCACTCGGTAGCTTCCCCAGCTCTTTTCCAAAGAGAGAAAAAACCTACCCGCAGCGTGCCAGGAAATGTTGCAAAATAGTCAAAATGTTTTGTGCCTTCCCCCGTCAGATTTGTTTTTCAAACCCGAAGAACTCTGGTGGCTCTGAAATCTGTCCGATGTGCCCGTCTTGGGGTCCCCCAGTCCCATCGGTTCCTCTCAGCGAGGGGACTCGGTGACTCGGACAGTAGCAGCTGAACCAGATCTAATTCCTTAGGAAGCGCTGCCACAAGAAGAAAACTGCTCAGACTGAGACGTGATCGGTCAGCTCTGCAAATTCATGTTCAGCATTTTAACACATGAGCTTTTCTGCGCTTTACTGAGAGATTTTTTCCAGACTTTTCAGAACAAAGAGATCCTTTTCTTATCGTTGTCTCTCTTCTCCTCCGAGCATTGACAACATTTTGGTTTTCACTATTTGCAATTTTGTGAGGGAAATCTCGTCACCTTCCTCGGGTCCTTGAACCTTAATTATACGTGACAGGAGGAAGGCCGGGGAGAAAGCTGTCGATTATCCTTCGTGCTAATAGTTCCACCTGTGAGCGCCCGTTGGCGGCGGGTGGGTGCGGGAGCCGTGCCCCTTGGTGGCGAGGCTGCCTCGGCCGTCACTGGGGTTGAGTCGGCTGCTTCCGGTCTGCAGAGCAGAAAGGGGTCCAGCCCGCAGCTCTGTCTGCTCCGGAGTGAAGGGCGTGTGGGAAGACCACCACAGGTGCCCACCGAGGGGGGAGGAGTGTGAGATGTGGAGACAGCCGGGCCTCATGCGGTTTCCTGGGGACTTGTAGGTGGGTAACACGCAGCCATGGGGAACCCTTTGAGGGTAACACACAGCCATGGGGAACCCTTTGAGGGTGCTGGCGATGACCCCACGGGAGGTGGCAGGGTCCCCGCCGTTGGGGCTCAGGTGGGGTTCTGGGTGTCGGCAGGGGGCCGACTAGAACGAGCAGGGTGTTGTCCTCGGGGCCAGTAGGGAGGGACCTTGGAGAAGAGGACCTAGGCCGGTCTGGGGGGTGCAGGCGAACTGAGGGGCTCAGGAGCGACACGGGGGCGAGTGTCCGGGGTGAGCCCCTGGGGTCGAGGTCGGACTCCGACAGCAAGCTTTGGGGCTGAGCCCCTGGACCGAGAGGCTGGAGCGGACTCGTCGCCCCGTCACACGCCCCGGGAACTGAGCAATGAAGGAGGAACACCAGTGGGCGGCCCTGGAAACGTGGGTGGGGGAGGAAGGGAGGGTCCAGGGGTCAGCCTCCTGGGGAGCCACCTTGAGACCTGGGGCCCCCGGGGGGGGGGGGGGTCTGCACCGAGCAGATGTTGAACCGCCCGAGTCACGTGGGACGTGCGCCTGCTCAGGCCCGCAGGCAGAGCAGGAGGGAGGAAACGAGGGGGGGTCTCGGCCTCGGAGGCGGGACTGCGGCCTGATGGGGCCCCGCTCTCGCCTCCCAGGGCTGGCTGGAAGGCTGCGTGAGCCTGCTCAGGAACGGGGCCAAGCACAGCGTCCCCGACAAGAACGGCCGTCTGCCGCTGCACGCGGCCACCGCGGAGCCCGACGCCAGGTGAGCAGCCGGTTCTGGGGCGCGCAGATGGGGCCAGGGGCCGACCGGGGTCAGAAGGTGATCCACCCCAAACCTGCAGCCAGTTAAAATGGACCCACCCACTTGTTTGAAGTTGGCACAGACAGGACCGTGTCAGTAAAGCTAAATACCCTGGAATGACCTTAAACTTGAATCCATGAAACCCTTTCTCCCAGTCAGATTTAAAAAGCAGTGCGGTTTGTTACCGAGTTCACGCATTCATGCCCTGAATCAGCCACCTACTACTTCAGTAACTATTGATTCAGTGCCACGGGCCACGTCCTTCTAGGCCCCCGCGAATTCCACGGGAAGGACAGCAGGGGCCTTGACCTTGCGGAGCTCATGCCCCAGGGACGGAGGTAAGTGGCCACTCAGAAGACGACCCATAGGGTCACTTAGGGCAGTGACGAGTGCCAGGGAGAAAGGAGTGAGCAGGACCTCAGAGTCGGGCCCGCGTTTCTGGGTGGGGAACAGGCGGAGGACCCGCAGGGGCCTGGATGCTGGTGGGTGGGAGTGAAAAGTGGGTGTGTCGAAAGGCTTGGGAACACGTACACCCAAATCAGTGGTGACCTCAAAGGTCACATTTTTGTAAGACAGCGGAGCAGCAACAGAGAAAGGCCTGCACGGGCCAAGCTTAGCGTCCCCAGTCCTGTGGTCTCAGTGGCCTTGGTCTGCCATCTCCCGAAAGCCCCTCGGAGCAACTGGTCACAGCAGGTCCTGCTGGAGTCGGCAGCGTGCGGGTACTTCCCTAGCCGGGGCTGCGCAGGGCGCGGCTGGCAGGAGCTGAGCACTCAGGGAGCGGCATTGGGGACCTCGGCCCCTGTACCCTGTGTCCCAAATGGGCACTAAAACTGTGGGGTGGAGGGAGACCGCGGCCCTTCCAGGTGGGGCGGTCACAGGACTTCTTCATTTCCGCCTGTTTGGCACTAAAATAAAAGGGCTTGGGAAATTCCACGTCGATTCCCAACCAAGCCTTGCTTCTTACTGTCGTTGGGTTACGTCCAGGAATAACAGAAAAGTCCTCTGCCGCACAAAACAAGGAAGTTCAGGGGAGCAGCGCCGGCTCAGAGCCCACGGCCTGCAGGCACCGTCAGTGGTGACGCCCTTGGATGAGGCCGGGGAAATGACGCGTCTGGACGACTCCCAAAATGCGGCTCATAGAGTCATACGGTTTTCCTGGGTGTAACCTTCAGGAAACGGTTAAAATGTGTCTTTTAACACTCTTCTGCCTTGATGGACTTAATTGCCTTTCTGTGCGGCGTTGGCAGTGTCAGTCTGCTTCCCGAGACAGAGAGAGCCGTGTCTGGCTCGTGAGGACCGCCCCACCCACGGCCACCATGCGGGAGGGCGCGGCCCCGGCAGGCTCTGCGCGCCCATTCGCCCAGGCGGACGCGAGGACCCGTCCCCCGGGCCGGCCTGGCTGACCACCGCCGCGGCGGGTCTCGCTGCGACCGTGGCGACGATGGCAAACAGATGTTTACTGACCCTGTTCTGAGTCTCTGTCCTGCCCCGTGGACTGTACGACGGTGCCTGCGTGTGACAGGGACAGCTTTGTCGTCACTCTGCAGATGAGGAAACGGGGCCGGGGAGGAGAAGGAGCCGCCCGGGCAGGGGTGAGGATGCCAGGGCTGCGTAAGGACCCCGAGGGTTTGCTCCGATGGCCACCTATTGTCGTCGGCCCTCGGCCCACATCCCGGGCCTCACGGGGCAGCCGGGCCCAACCCCACGGGGCAGCCGGGCCCAACCCCCACCACCTCGTCATCAGGAAGGGCTCTGCTCCTCACGACGCCCGGGCCTCCGCGAGACGCCACACGAAAGACTCGCTGAGAGAGGACTCGCCGAGCTCTCCCCAGGGGTCACCCTTCATCTTGCTGTGCACACACTGGGGCCCCAGCCAAGCTCGGGAAGGCCGGGTCTGACGTGTGTCCCGCCTCCGTCCCCTCGCCTGTCCTCGTTTTCCCTGGGTTCTCCCACGTGACTCTGTGTCACGCTTGTGTCTGGAAACCTCCCGAGAGCCTCCTGGGCAGAGGCGAGCGTGGCAGGCGGGCCGCCCGGGAGTCGGAGCGAGTCGGCCCCTCTCCGGGGCTGCATTGTCCGGGGCAGGCCGACTCGGCAATCCTCCTCTCGCAGTCTCTCCAAACGGGGGTGATGCAGGACTTGCCCCGGGGAGGGGGCGGGACAGCAGGACAGTCGGTGTGGGAGGCACCGGGCAGTGTCGCTGGTCAGCTGTCAGCGAGTGTGGCGGGGACGGTGGGAGGCAGGCGGGAGGGGAGAAGCGTGGTGTGTCAGTGCTAAGTAACGAGCCCCTGCCGCTGCCACCCCTGCTCCCACCCGGCCCTCCCCTCCCTCGCACACACAGCTCACAGAACTGTGCACACACATGAACATACGTGCGCACACACTGCGAGGCCATCAGGGTCCCTGGGGTCTGGGGCTGCACTCGAGACCCCAGTGAACATCAGACGCAGCCCCTCAGCCCCCAAAGCGCCCGCCCCACCTTTGCTCGCGTGCCAGGGCCTCCCTCCCGCCGACTACGAGCCTGAGTGTGGACCACGCTGCAGTTTTGTGCTTGGGCAGCCACACTTGCTTAAAACCCGGCAGCTCCCGTCTGTCCGAGCAGCACGCCCCTCCCACCTGGTGTTCAGGTCGCTCGCAGGGAAGCCTCCAGCCAAGGCTGCACCGAGATGAGCCGGGGGGGCTCTTCTGTCAGCCCCCTGCCTCCAGGGGGCGGGTCCTATGGCGAGGACTTGCCAGCAGACCAGTCGGCTCCTGCAGCCTAAGCTGAGGGCCCTGGGCCAGTCCCCACTGCTGCCAGCACGAGTGATTTGCAATCACCAGCTTGAAGGCCAGCGGATGGACAGAAGCAAAGAGGTGCAGCCTCTGCCTCACGACCCCCCGTCCCGCATGGAGCCCCCAGCCTCTCAGCAGGTCCCAGGGCTTCTTGCCTCCTGGGCTGGAGCCCCCAGAGGGGCCCCCACGGAGATGGGCAGTCACTAACACAGGGCTCCGAAGGGCCGGGTGGGAGCAGAGGCTGTGTTCCCACAGGGGGCGCCCGGGGGTCAAGAAGGCCCAGCAGCGGGTCCTCTGCAGCAGCCCCGGGCTCTCTGCAGGCCTTCTGCACGGCCTCCACCGTCACTGGTGGAATTTTCTTCCCTGCCCCGGAGAGCGCCAGCCCCTCGGCCTGTCTCCACCTGCGGCAGGAGCAGGAAGGGGGTCATTCTTTACGGGCCCTGTTCTCCAGTCACCAGGTGATGCGCTGTAATCTGGGCAGGGACAGAGGTGTGTCTCACTGCCACATACAACCAGGCACTTTCAGGGTCGTGGCAGGGAGAGGGGGCTGGTGGGGGGACCCCTTCTCCACCCCCCACACTGAGCTGGCAGGACCCAGGGCTATGAACCCAGGGGTCAGCAAAACAGAGGAGCCCCAGAGCCAGCAGCCCCAGGACAGCTTGGGCTGACTGCTCTCTGGCCCACCGGTCACCTAACAGCAAGCAGAGGACTGAAAAATACACAGGGTAGAAGCTTTTCAAAAAAGCGATCATTAAATAGTGCCTAGGGCATACACGCCATTCCCAGTGCTTTACAAGGACTGACACAGTCACAACAAACCGTGAAGTGGGTGTGACTGTGACAAGAAAATGTCACTCTGGGAGTTGCAGAGCTTGGCCAAGGTCACCGGCTCTTCGGGCGTGGAGCAGGGACTCCGACTGGGAAGTGCGGCCCCCATACCTGCGGTCCTGGTGCCTGGGACGAGACTGGCCTCCCACCACTGCCCGGAGCTCAGAGGGCAGCATGGGGCCGAGCTGGGGACAACCGGGGACGGGGCCAGGAGTCAGACCCCCGGGGGCCTGTCCAGGCGAGTTGTGGGGCAATGAGGTATGGCCAGTGGGCAGTGCAGCGCCTTAGGTGGGGTGTGCTCAGAGAAGGCGAGGGAGACATGGGGGTGGGGGACGGAGAGGAGGCAGGAAGGGGGGGGAGGGAGAGAGAAAAGAAAGGCAGCCAGCAGTTTCCCGCCCCCCAAAGCAGCTCTAAGGGGAAACACACCCAGTAGTGGGGCATGATTACAAATACAGAACAGTGTTACCCAAAATGCAGTTACGTTTACAGCCTCTTCCTACCAGAATTCAGAAGGGACACCTGAGCAGCCAGGCTCACTGGGCGGTGGGTGCCTCGCGCCAGCTGCTCAGTCCCCGCCGCCCGGCTGCCACGCTCCGCGCCACAGAGTGGGCGGACAGAGGCCCCCACCGCCGACCGCGTGGTCTGTGCCTGGAGCTTCCTCTGGTTCTCTTCCCAGGCTCCTGGCGGTCCTGGTGCAGCAGTCCAGCCTCAGCGAGGTCAATCACCAGGACAACGAGGTGAGCCTGCCTGCGGGAGGGACAGCGGCCACTGGGCATGTGGGCCAAGGGCAGGGGGAGGGCAGCCTTCCGGAACCGCTCACTGGGCTGCCGGGACCTTCAGGCAGAATTGTCTGCCCATGGCGGCCGCCAGCAGCTTCTCCGAGGGGGGCTGTGGCATTAAGCATTTCGGCACATTCCTGAAGTTCTGTGACCTCCCCGGGCACTGAGAAACTCGCATGGCCCTGTCCTGTCCTTGAGTCCCCAGAGCACTGCTGGCCTGCTGACTCTGAGGGACCGGTGTCAGAGTGCCTACGGCCCCAGCTCCTGTCCCGGAGCCCGAGTTCCGAGCGCCAGCGGCCACCACTGCCACTGTGCTCCTGCCGCAAAGATGTCCGGGCGCCGGGTTCCCAGAAGCGGGTCCTTGGCAAGTGCAGGTCAGGCGCTAAGTAGTGGGGGCTACTTAGCTCTTTCCAGAAGCAGGACTGACCAGCCAGAGCCAGCCTGATTCCTTTAACGAGCTCTGGAAAACCGATTCAAATGCCTGGTTTTTAATGAAGTTAGAAGCGCATGCTCGGTTTGGCCGCACTTGGCTAAGACACTCAGTACCATTAAGCGAGTCTGACAGCGAGGAAAGTGCCTCCGCCCCGAACGCCAGGTGGCACCGTCGCCGAGGGAGCCCGCTGGCCGTCCACAGCGGTCAGGCTGGGCCTCGCCTCCTCCCAGCCGGCCTGGCCGACTGCGTCCGAAGCCGCGCTGCCTGTTCTGTGCAGAGACGTGTCGCCGCCGAGGCGGACAGCTCTGCGGCGGCCAGGGTCCTTGGTGCTGGGAAGCGAGGGCAGTTCTGGAGCAGGGAGGGCGCGGCCGAGCTTCCTTCCTCCACCGTCCCCCTGGGGGAAGGCCTGCCTCTGGCTCCTGCACGTCCGGAACCAGCCACTGCCCACCACCTCCCGTGGGGGACCCCAGGGGGCCCCCGAGCAGTGTCGTGTCCACCGGGCACCACGCTCCCTGCACAACGGGAAGCCAGACTGCAGGGCCCCCCGGGGTGAGGGGCGGGTCTGGGTGAGTGTGTGCTGGGGGCCCTGCGGTCTACCGTGGCCGGAGGACAGAGGAAGGCGTGCCACCCAAGGTCCCAGTGAGACCAGCTCCGGAGAGGGACTGGAGGACCCCCAGCCCGTCCCGGTAACGGCCGGAGAGGAATGGGTCAGCAGCAGAGACCTGACTTCAGGATGAGAGGTGTTGGGCTGAGAGCAAAGCGGAGGAACAGAAAGAGGGAAGCAGGAGTCTGTTGCCGAAGCCACCATGTAACTGCTCCAGGGAAGCAAAGCCTGTGTCACTTGCCGTCCGGGAGGCGAGTGCCAGGCCAGGGCTGCCACCCCCCCCCCCCCCCACGCACTCGGGGGCTGCAAACGTTTGGCGCTGCTGCTGTTACTGGTTTCTACTCATGTGAGTAATTCGTGAATGCATTTGCTTTTCTAAACTCTAGGGACTGCAGGTAAAATGCTGGCCCGTCCTAGGGGACGGCCGCCACACCGTGGTGGCCCAGCAGCCACCGTCCAGGGGTCTCTGTCCCGGCCTCTCCTGCCTGTCCATGGACCCTGTGGGATGTGCCATAGAAAGTGTCACAGTCCCTCTGTGCTTCCGAAACTTCACTTGCTCTCCAGAGCCGTCCCGGGGCCCCGTGTGACATGTGTCATCTGGCGCGTCCCTGCTGATGACCCCCGGTGTGTTGTAGGTCGCCCCCGTCCACGGCCCAGCCACCCAGGGTCAGCCGAGGTCAGAACGCGGTGCCCGGGGACTGCTGGAAATAAGCACCGCACAGGCTGGGACCACGCACAGTCCGCCTCGGGCCGGGGCCTGCCCTCCGCCCGGCGCACCCGTGTGACGGTGTCACGTGGCGGTGCACCTGCCGGGCCGTCCCCAGGCCCTCCCTCCCGGTGGATCACTGGAGCCGTCCTCACGGGTCATCGGGTGTGACCGTCCATCCCTTCCTGCGCCTCCTTTGCGAACCATCAGGGGCTCCCCCGTTCAGGGAAAGCCGGGCGTACGCAGGGTTGGCGTGATCGTGGTTCCAGGACCCCCACAAATGGGGGGGACGTCTGTCCTGTGACAACACCTCTGCTTATTTCACTGCCCCCCCGAATGGACGTTTATGTTGTCTCACCGCCCTCGCGACGCCTCCCTGGGCGTGTCCTTGTCTGAGCCTCCGTGAGCGTCTTACACACACGTTTCTCTGGAAGGCTTCACTCGGGGCCCACTGCTCCCGCTCCTCCACCTGCCCGGCTCCCCGCGCTCCCCTCCCGTGCGGCCACATCAGCGCCCCGCGCCCCCACTGCGTGCAGATTATCCTCGCTCTGCGGCTGCTGTCGTCCCCCGGGGAGCCGGTGGGACGGAGCTGCCTCTCAGTTCAGAGCTGTCCTCACGGTGAGGGCCTTTTTTGCACTTTCTTTTTCGACTCGCCTCTCTGGAGCCCTGGTCTCTCCCCCGGTGGGGCCGCTGGTCGCTGTCTTCCGTGTTTGCAGGAGCTCACACTTTGGAAATGATTCCTTTGCTGTTGGGGCACAAACGATTTTCCAGTCTTTTGCTTACTTCACTTTTCGTGCACACGTTTTAAAGTGCGATGTCATCGAAACTTCGCTCTCGCCGGCCCACAGCTGCTTTGCCTTTTGAAAGGCCTCCCCTGCCCCCAGGGACGTGTCTGCACGAGGCTCTTAGCTGTTACAAGATTTCTTTCTTAAATATGTGCTTCCTTTCCTGGACTGTTTGTTCTGTGCTAATGGTCCAGTTTGGGGTTTTTTTATTTCTGCTTCATTAACCTCACTGCTTAAGTATAAAGAGCTGCCCCCAGTGGGAGAGGCAGACGGTTCAGGCTGCTGCTGCGCCCTGTCCTCTGGGGCCTCGGGGGACCGCACCAAAGACAGGCTTGTCCCTGGCAGCTCCGGGGAGCCCACGGCCGCCGACTGCCCGGACTCCACCCTCCCCTGGTCTCGCTGTGGCTCTGGCAGGAAGACGCCCCCGTGAGAGGGGCCGAGAGCTGCGGGCACATGGGTTAGAGCCGGACACCCACCCAGAGGAGCGCAGAGATGCCCGGTGCCCGGAACGCTTTGTGGATTTTACTCCAGAGGCCTGTTCTGGCCTGAGTAGACTTTTCATGAGTGGACGGACCATCCAAACCCGCGTTCTCGTGGCGTGCCGAGAAAGTAAATTTGAGTCGTAAAAACCAGATGTGAACCTCTGGCTGTAATTCTTAGCACTGACATTCCTAAGATACAGCCACAAGCACAGACTGTGCCCTATAAAGGCAAAATCAAAACAAACAGTCCCCAACCCTAGAAACCATTTTATTTTACTGTTACCAAAAGGTAAAATAACATAGCCACGTTTTTATTGCGCCCGGATTTTTGTCCCAAAAATGCACACCTCGAGAAAATGGAATGGAGTCTTTACCAGCAGGGTCCCTCTGCCCCAGCCCCCACGCCCCACAGCCCACAGGGGACACTTGTCTGGCCCATCTGTGGACCCCTGGGGTCCACGCAAGTCGTCGGCACACTCATTCGACACGTTTTAAGGTGCCTGCCGGGTGCTGTGCAGGCTGCGCCTGCGCTGAGAGGCCGCTGAGAGGCCGCAGTTTAGTGCGGAAGTGGCAGAGGCTCCGCGTGGTTGAGAAGGAGGTGCCCCGCGGGCGCGCGGACGGCCGCTTCTTTCGCTCGCCCTTGGGAGACTTCGCCCAGGAGCTTCCCTGCTGTCGTGGTTCCTGTGGTTTGTCTTGCATTTGTGGCTCATTTGCACTAAAAATCTCCGTTCTAAAGGTTTCTGCTCTTTGTCAGGGACGTTGCTTTTGTCGTTATATAGGGAGGAGGTGAGCGTCTTCAAGGGGTGTCGTGATTCGTGGGCACACCTGGTGCCCCAGATGGTTTCCGCCTCCGCTGGGTCTCTGGCTGTGGGGCGTTCACTGTGTGTCCGGGTTAGAAAGCCCCAGGACAAAGGTGACAAGTCATTTACTAGGCTTTTTACTATATAAGATGTTTTCCAAATAAAAATTAAAGAAAATGGTATTCATGACCGCACTTCTAATAGGTTTTTTTTACTCCTTTAAAGCACAGCATCTATGCCAATTTTGTGTCTAGAGAAAGCCCTTCGTAACTTGCCTGTGGGGCTGGGAGATCGGTATTAATGGTGTGTGCATTTAAAAACGTCCGCCAGGCCCCCGCTGGACTGTGGGCAACTCTGGGTCCTCAGAAGCACCTGGGGCTGTTTTGCTGCCCTGCCGGCCGCCTGCTCCACCCCCAGAGCGCCGGGCGCAGCACCCAGCTGTCCTGCCTGCAGGGCTGCCCGAGCCCGTCCAGAAGTGCAGCTCGGCAACAGGGACCGCTCAGAACGAATCCGATTTCTGGTGCAGGGAACACAACAACTACAGAGGTTTTTTGGGGGGGAAACGTTCTGAGGAGCCGACAGGACGTGTGAGCCCTTACTCGAAATGCTGGCGGCACCGGCTCAGGGCACAGGACGGCTCATCCGCACAGCAGCGTAGTTCCGGGCGGCCCGCGGCCCCTGACAGCGGTCACACTCGGTCCCAGGGGCCTCTCAGAGTGGATCCTGCGTCACCTCCCTGCAGCACGCCCGGAGAGCCAGGTGCGGGTTAGTCCTCGTCTCGGAACCAGTGCTTTCTGTTTTTAAAAAGCAGAATTCTGCACCCACTGGGCCCCCCCACGTGTCTGCTGACGGGTCTCCTGTTTTCAGGCCTTGGGTGCCTTTTCGGCCCAGCCAAGTCCTTGGTGAGGCTCCAGAGAGCAGCCGGCAGGAGCTGTCTCCCCGGCTTGGACACAGGGCTTCGCATTCAACGGGCCCAGTGTGTGACCAGCCCCGCGGGTCCGCAGGAGGCGCGATGCCTGATGCCCTCTAACTCATTCTCCCTGCGCATCACTCAGGCACCCACTGGGTGCTCGGGGCGGTGGGCATAGCACGGCGGAAGCCCCACAACCTGAGCCTCGAACCCTGGTTTTGGTCACGGCTGGCTCCACCGCAGCCGGCTCACCAGGGGCGGGGCTGCCGCGGGGAAAAGATAAATGACTCACCGTGTGCAAGAGTGTGTTCGGGACGCTAGACTCGGGCTGGTCTCGGAAGGTTTGGTTTTCCTGTCACCAACTCTGAGAGGACTGATCTCTATTTCTCATTAGCCCAACTGACAACAGAATAGCAGCAGGAAATTCCCCCTGACTCAGTGTCCTTACGGCCTGTTTGTGCTGTGATGTAAATACACGCTGTGTCTCTGCACCTTGTGTTCTGTGCGTCAGAACACACCTTACTACGCAGAGACGTCTGGAGTCCTTCAGGTCTCCCTCAGTTCAGGCCGTTTGCAGGGTCGACAGGTATTTCTGAGGGCGATCGGGCAGCCTGGGCGGGGACGGGGGGAGCACGCACATCGCAGCGCCTCACCCAAATATTTGCCAGCGGCATTTTGGGGGGGTCGGCGGGGATGACACAGGAAACAAATGGTGGCGTGTGGCGGCAACCCTAGGGCTAGTGAGAATCCCCGTTCTAGACGCGAGAAGACCCTCGGCCCTCGCTCCAGCTGAAACCACAAAGACCAGACTCTCCCAGCATCTGAGCTCATTTCCAAAGTGACAGTTGGCCAGCGGGATGTGCGGAAGGAGCCTCATTGGGGAGACCTGGACTTGAACCTGACCAACCTTGGAGCTGGTCAGTGGCCGCAGGCAAATGGCTCCACCTGCCCGCGTCTCAGTGCCTCACCAGAACCACCTGTGGCACAGGTAGAACTACCTGGGCCCTGCCGGGGCTGCCGTGAGGATCAGTGAGGTGACAGAAGGTTCTGGGTCCCGGGGGTGCACGTGAACAGCGGTCTGCCCATCCCACCCGCTCCCTGGCCAAAGCAGGCGGAGTTGGGTTGTCTGTCCGTTGTTTGTGCGGAGGGCGAGGGGTGTTGTTCGAAGGCGGTAGCTCCCTCCGGCCGCCAGCTGTGTGCAGGAGACCGGGACCCGCAGGTCGCCAGCGCACTGGTGATTACGGGTTGATTCACAGCCACACTTTCACGCTGGATCCTCCCATGACAGAGTCTCGTCGGTGGCTGTGGGCACCCCCACACACATTCACATGCACACACGCTCTCACACACACCTCAGACACACACACACACTCACATACACTCACATTTGCAGCTCTCGCCAAAGACGCTGACAGGCTTCCTGGATGATCCGGTGACAGTGATTGCGCCAGACAAGCTCGTTTTCCGTAAAGGCAGAGTCCTGTTCTGCCTTTCCATCCTGTGCGCATGATTTCGAAAAGCAAAGCCAAATTTCACCAAAGCGAAACATTCACCAGGGAGAGTGAGAAGCTGTTCGTTCTCTGAACAGGTGCTGCCGGGAGCCACGCGGGCGGGCAGCCTGGCCCGAGGCTCACGCTCAGTGACCTCCTTGTCCTGGCGTCTTTCATCCTGGGCACAGGGGGCGCGAAGTGAACGGGCCTGGGCACCGGTAAGAGGAGAGCCGTGCATGATAAGGAGAAGCAGACGCTCTGGAGTCCGGACTCCTAATTCCAGCGGGCCACCTTAAAAATGAAATGCATCAAGCTGTTCCCGGCCCCAAGTAAAGGAGCAGCTGTCAGAACAAAAAGTCCCTCTGTCTTTAGACCAGCGCTCTTGTCCACATGGAACTGATTTCTTGAAATGTCATCAAGTATATCTCCAGAGACGTCATGTGGCTGGAACTCGAAACTTGAAAGCAGACCACAGTCCAGTGATGCAGAACGTGGGACCGGCCGAGGGGACTTCACGTCTAATCCCAGTGCCCCGCAGACCCCATGCCCCAGCGTCAGTTCCCTGCCCACCCGCAGACTCGGGACTTCTCCAGGGCTCAGCTTCCTCTTCCACAGGCCGAGAAGCAGAGCGTGGGCTGACTCCTGTCCCAAACGGCCTGAGTCTCAGGGCCCAACACGGTGTCCGCCTGTGTTCTGCTGGCATCAGAGGCCAAAGCTGGTTGACCAGGTGGCCCTGTCCCACCTGGCCGGTCAGGGCCGAGGGCTCATTAATCCTGTGGCTCTGGCACATTCTCAAGCCTGTGCACCCCTGCACCCAGTTGTCAGGTGAGGAAGGACAGACGTGCACGGGGCCACGTGAGCGTCCCAAGGTGGCCACGTGGTGCGGCCGGGTCTCAGTCCCATGCCACACCTGCCTGGGGGGAGGTGGGGTCCGTCTGCCCGGAGAAGGCAGAGCTGGAGGTTGGGCAGCAGGCAGCTGTCTTCCCACCACACCTAACGCGAGTGGAGAGAGATGACACACGCTGGATCTCACAGAGGTCCCTGGGTCAGTGATTGCTACCTGGGGACACGGTTAGCCCTGCTGTCCTACCCCGGCGGGGCCCCCCTCTCCCTCCGCTCCCTGTGGGTGGAGCAAGGGCCCAGGGCGGGACCCCTCTCTCTGCTGCCTGCCACCGAAGGGTCTGGGCAGGGCGAAGCGGCCAGCAGGAGTCCGCTGACCATGAAGCGGTGCTGGGGATGTGCACCCGCGGACCCTGAGAGACACGGGCTCGCCCGACTGACCAGTCCGCCCCGGTTCTCCGGAGGCCGTGGCGTGACTGGCTCTCCGCAGTGCACGCCGGGTCGGCCGTCATCTGCTCGGAACCCTGTGCTGCCCTCCCTCCGGTTGCCCTCAGAGTGACAGCCCAGCACCTTCCCCGGGGCGGGCGGCCCGCCCCACAGCCTGGGGCGGCCCCACGCACGGGGCTCCCCTCCGTCTCCCTCCATTCTTCCTCCGTCACCCCCGCCGTTTCCCCTCGGCTGCAGTGACTGCGGCACCACAGCACGGTGGGATGTGCGTGGCCCTCGCGGGGGGGATGGCGTCCGGCGCGGCTCAGCCCCAGCGCCAGCCTCTGCGACCTGCTGCCGGCCCCCAAAGGCCCGAGGAGCGGCCCCAGCGTCGCCCCCCAGGGCTGTCCGCGTGTGTCCTAGCTCGCGGCCTTCTGAAAGACCCTTCGCTCCTCTGTGCACATTTGTCCTCTGGCTTCCTCTCCCACAGAACAAGCCCCACGGGGCCAGGGCCTGGTCCACCTTACTCCCCGCGGTGTCTGCACCCCATGTCCCCGTGCAGAGCAGGAGCCCAAGGACCCTGGGTCGGGTGACCGTGCGAGCAGGGCATGAGCGGGCGGCCCACCCGGCGAGGCCCTCGGCCCGGGGAGGACGCGCGAACGCGTCTCCCTGGCAGCCGCGCTCACCTCCGCCGCTCTGACTCTGGCTTTGCAGGGAATGGCGCCCCTCCACTGGGCGGCTTTCCACAGCCAGCCCCAGCACGCCCAGCTGCTGCTGCGGAAGGGGGCGGACCCCGCCCTCGCGGACAAGGACTTTAAGACGGCTCTGCACTGGGCAGTCCAGGTAGGACCGGGCGGCAGCGCCCTGCGGGCGGCAGGCCTGAGGCCTGGGGCGGTCAGGGGGGCGGCCGGAGCGCCGGCACGGGGCTTCTCTGCGTGACAAGGTAGGGTTCACAGTGCCCTTGTCCCCTCCGCTCACATCCGGGGGACGAGCACACCGGTCACTGTGGAGGATTTGGGGGCGTCCGTTACAGAGAAGCGACCCCGCGAACAAGGGGGGGGGGGGGGGGGGGGGGTTACGGGCCATCAGGTAGGACCTGCCTTGGCTTCACACTCACACACTCACCGCACACACGCACACTCACACATATACATAATCACACACACTCACACGTACCTCACAGGTGCGCACACACAGTCACACACATACAGTCGTACAAACTCACATGTACACACACAGATACTACTACACAGTCACACACACACCCCCCTCTTGCCCTCTCGGTGGCCGTCACGGGCACACACGCTCCAGGATCAGCCTTCGGGGCATCTAGACTGTGGCTCCTTTCTTCCTCCGGAAGCCCCCAGAGCAGGGGCCCCGAGTGCCGCCGTGGCTCGCGACCCCACGTCACTGTCTCACTGTCTCGAAGGGGAGTGAGTGTCGGAACACGCAGCGGGAGGCACCAGGGCCGGCCCGGAAGTGGGCCGTGGGAGGGGGACGGAGGACGGAGTGGGGGACCGGGGTAGCCGGTGTCCCTGCAGCGTTTTCTCCTCCCGAGGGGAAGGGTTAACCAGGGGTCCTCTGCTCTGTCCCTCAGGGGACAGTGGCACTGGGCCCCCCCGCCCAGCAGGCCTGCGAGCCCCTTTGAGTTTCGATGCCTCTGAGGCCGCACCCACCCACCCCGTTTGCTCCCATCAGCCTGGGCAGGGCGCGTGCTGAGCGGCTGTGGGCCCTGCCAGGGGGGTGTCTGCCCTCCCGCCCCCGGGCAGCGCCCAGTGGTCTCCAGTGACATGCAGGGGCCCCTGGCCCTTTCAGGGCGACATGGGTGCCTGAGGTCAGGGGGCGCGGAAGGGGTTTGGAAACTGCCCTGGGTTGGCCCCTCCGACTGTGGCTGCTGCAACGACACAGCCAGCCCTGGGCCAGACTGCGGGGCGAGCCAGTTGGCTTTTGTCACCTTCCCCTGCCACAGCACTTCAGTGTCTAATCGCCCGCCCTGCCCCCAAAGACCGGTCCCAGCCCGGGGCCCACTGTTCTTGGTCAGCATGTCCACGGTCGTCATGCCAACGTGAGAACTGACCCGGCCGATCTCTCGGCCGTCAGCTTCTGGGGCCTAGTGGGGAGCGGGATGAATGGATTCACTGAGCGGGCGGCCAGCGGGCGGCCCCAGCCCCATGCCAGTGCCAGTGTCCGTCCACCCATGACCCCGTGCTGACGCGGCCCCTCCTCGGATCCCCAGTCACAGAAGGACTGAAGCCTCCGCAGCGAGCGGACACAGCGGGCTCCACAGGCGGCCGGGACGGGGCGGGGTGGGGCGTGTGCCTTTGCTGGTGCGGGCAACGCGCTGCTCTGTGCCCCTCCCCGCATGGCGTTGTGACGTGCCTCCCCCGACCTGTCTTCCAGAGCGGGAACAGGACGCTCTGCGCCCTCATCCTGAGCCACCGCCAGGGCCCCTCCATCGTCAACTGCGATGATGAGAGCGGCAAGACCTGCGTGCACCTGGCCGCCGCCGCGGGCTTCAGCGACGTCCTCGCTGAACTGGCGAGGGTCCCCGAGTGCAACCTGCAGGCCCTGGACGTGGAGGACAGGTACCGAGGCGGCGCAGAGTGTGGTGGCGCCAGGCTCACCCGCTGCAGACGCCCCCCTCCACCGAGGGGGCGCGGCTGTGGGGTTGCCCTGCGCTGCTCCAGCTTTATGCCAGCTGCTCACATGCGTGCACACACGTGTGTGCCCACAGCAACATGGGCCGCCCTGTTTCCAAAGGGCGGGGCCGCTGCCGTGAGGGGAGACGCCGTGCTGTGAGACCAGCCGCCATTTGCCACACGTCCTCCGCGTTCTCGGGCTTTGGGCAGATCGGCTCCCTGCCCTGTGACCTTTCCGTCCTTGACCCGTGTCTTGTTTTTCCTTATTCCTGAATCATGTGGTCAAGGCAGCAGTTCTGTTCTCCACACACAAGCACAGTAGAGGCTTTGTGTCCAGAACAAGGTGGGACCCTGTCAGGGTGTTTATTTTTGGTTTTTGAGTCATTAAAGAGGTGTTGGCAGGGAACAGGAAGCGAGGTCCAGAAAGGGAAGAGACTTAACTCGGGGGCGATTAGCAGCTAAGTAAAGCCGTGTGCCCCGTCTTCCACACACGGAGGTCTCCAGGACGCAGGCCCAGCATCTGCACTCACTGCCAGGGCGCCCGGCTGCAGTGCGGGCCTCACCTCTGCCCAGGTCGGGCACCCGCTCAGTGGAAGTAGAAAAGCAGAACAAAACGGCGCTACAGAGAGTAAGTTTAAGGCATCTATGGCCTGTGGTGTCCACCCTCCTTTCCTGGAGCGCAGAGCCAGCCACTTACTACTCGTCCTGATTTTAGAGGCCACTGGGCGCTGCAGGTGCCTGAAACCCTCGCACTGCGGGGAAGGCGCCGGCAAAGCTGCTCATGGGTCTCGGAGGCTGGAGGGGGCTGCACCGACCTCGGTCAGAGGGAAAGTCCCGTCCCTGTAGCAGGGCTTCGCTCAGGCAGGTGGTGGTCCCCCGTGCAGCTGAGAGGACACGGGGGCTTCAGTCCCAGGGGACGGCAGCGAGTGCCCTGTGAAGAGCAAGGCCGGAGAACGGCCAGCGGCCGACTCCAACACCCTTCCGGAACCAGCTCCTCGCCGAGTGGTTCCCATTGTGCAGCCCCAGGCTGAGCAGAGAAAATCTCCGTTCCTCTCTGCCACAGGCCCCAGGGGAGGAAGTAAAACCGGGTGGGGGGTGTGCGAGGCGGGGCCAGGAGAGTTGGAGGCGAAGTGAAATCTCCCAGAGCCCCGTTCCTGCCCCCGCCACCTGCGTGCATCCCGCCCGGTCTCGTTCCCCATTTTCCGCACCGAGCAGAGGCACCTTCTCCCCGAAACTGGTGAGCTCGTGCTCGTGGGAACGGGATCTTTCAGCGCGTTGTTAGGCTGCTTTACACAGTGCGGTCGCTGCGACCTCCCTCTCCTCCTCCTCCGTCCTGGGGGAGAGAAAGTCTTTGTGGGAAGGGAAGGAAAATAAAGTGCTGACTTAAAAAAATAAAAGGGGATGAAGAAAAACAAGGGGAGAGAGTCCTCCTGGGTATTAAAATACGTCACGAATCTACTCGACTTAGAACTGGGGGTGCCAGCCTGTGTCGATGGCACGGAACCCGTGACCCAGAAGTAGCCTGCGACACTGCAACGCCCCGGATGTCACCAGTCTGGGAGGTCCCCCCGCCCTTCGGTGCCCAGGTCACCCGACCCAGGAAGGACGGTTTTTCATCGAGTTCTCCCCGTGTGTCCGCGGGGCTCTCCAGGGAGGGTGGGCTTGCCCGTAGAGCTCCCCTTGGCTTCGGACCCTCTGGCGACCCTGCGTTCCTGCACCCACACCCCCGACCGTCCCAGCCACTCCTCTCTCTCTGTGCACGTCTCCTGAATCACGAGCCCTGCCCTCCACCCCTCACTGTGGGAGCTGAGGCCAGGCCCTGGGACAGGAGGAGGCCCGAGCCGTGGAGGCTCTGGGACCCGGAGCACCGAGGGCTGGGGGGAGCCGTAGCTGGAGGGACACGGCAGGTCGCCCCGAAGGCTCTGTGTGCGTCAGGGAGGAGTTGTCTCCGAGCCCCCTCGCCTCTCTGCTCACCTGGGCCGCCTCCTCTGAGCTGGCAGTCAGAAGTGTGAGAACTGCTGCTCCAGCAGTCCTTGTGAAGGAGGGTTTCACCCCGAAGCCCGCCGTCCCCTGTCGGCTCGCCAGGCCCCCTCGGGTTCAGCGGCCCTGTGCTCTCTCAGCGGGGGCGGAGTCTGCCTGGGGTCCCGCCGCATCTCCAGACGAAACCTTCGAGCCGCCTCCCGCGGAGCAGAGCGCACCCGTCTGCCACTCGCCCACGCAGGCGGTGGTACTGATCGCTGTGTTCAAAACCGAGTGGGGTCCCGGGCAGCGCCTTCGCATCACTGCCCACCGTGTCGTGCGAGGAGGGGGGTGTGCGGTTGACCGCTGACAAAGCCCGAGTGTGGGGAACTTGGACGCCGTGGACGTAGCTGCTCTCCAAACACCGGCATGGTGTCCTCGCTGTGTCCCAGCTGGGCCCCGCTCTGCCCGCAGAGCAACCGAGGGGCTGTGCCAGGCAGGGCTGCAGCAGCGGGCCAAGGAGAGGCCTCCGGGCCCTCCCACCCCTCCCCAGGACCGCCCTTCCCCGTGCCCCCCTCCCCAGGACCGCCCTTCCCCGTGCCCCCCTCACCCTCCTACGGCCCCACTGCCTAGAGAGCCACACAGACTGCCCCACCCCGACGTCCCAGCAGCCCCACCGAGGAAGCAGTTGTGATCGGCTCCGCTCCCGGGGACAGAGCCCCTGCCTGCACCCCGCCGCTGCACCCCACGGCTAGGTTGCGGGGTCTGGCCCCTGCGCTCCGGACCAGCTCTCAGTCCCAGGCCACGCTCTGGAAATGGGGACACAGCTTCCCTGGTCTGTCTCGTGCCTCCTGCCCTGTGGTTGAACACAGGGCCAACCACCGTCTGTCCTGGGAGAAACGAGGTGGAGAGAGCAAACCCGCACCCAGGCCGGGGTCTGGCGCGTGACCCCACCACCCGGACAGGTGTGACGGCCAGTGCTGGGGAGCCCTGTGCCTGGGAACTAGCGTGGCCGCACCCTCACTGCACACGCAGACCCTTGTGTAGCGTTTCCAATTCAAGTACATACAGAAGAAAACAATGATTTTTTTAAAATTTACAGTTCAATGCACCCGTCTGGTGTGCAGCTACGTGATTTCAGCATGCTCACGATTTCCTGTCAGTGCCACAGATCAGATTCAGAATGAGCCATCCGTTCTGGCATCAGCTCCCCTCCTGTTTTCGCAGCCCTCCCCCGATTCCCCCACATCAGCTCCCCGACTCTCCGCCCCGATCAGCTCTCCTGGAGGAGGCCTGCCTTCTCCAGAGGCCGCATCTGCGGACCACTCGGTGTGGAACCATGGGAGACCGCCTTCTCTCACTGAGCAGGCCGCGCCTGGGCTGCACCCGTGCGGCCCCGCGTGGCTGAGGCCGCCCGTTCGTGCTGGGTTCCACTCCGCTGGGTGAGGAGCTGCTGTCCGCTGGCGCAGTTACCTGGCATTTGGGGCGATTATGACTCGACCACCAACGTTCACACCCAGGTGTGTGCACCTGAGTTCTCGTTTCTCAAGCCAAGTAGCACCGAGCAGTGAGACTGCTATTCACGCAGTGACCGTGTGTTTATGGCGCAGAAGGAACCGGCACACCGCCTCCCAGGTCGCCATCACCGTTCCGCCCACCGGCAGTGTGCCGACACCCCCGGGTCTCCGTGTCCTCCAGCACCCGGGGTGGCCAGGGCTCGTGTGTTCCTCTTGTTGGAGGTTGGCCGTTTCGAGGGTCTCGTGCTGGCGTCTCCCCGGGGACCGACGCCTTCTCGCAAGCTGATGTACCGTTCATGTGTCTTCTTTGACGAAGTGTCTTTTCTGGGCTCCTGTATTTCCTCATTCAGTTTCGAAAGATTTTGCATGTTCTGAATATAAGCCCCTTATTGGGCATGCGATTTGCAAATGTTTTCTGCAAGTCTCTGGCTTTTTCTTTTCATTTTATTTAAACAGTACTGGTCTTACATTTTAATAAAGGTTTAAATACTGATGAGTATTTATTTATCTCCTGGTTGATGAAAGACTTTCTAAGCACAAGCTTGTGAAAGAAACAATAATGAAGAGGTGATTTTTGAAAAATTTATGGAAGATCGCAGGAGGAGCCGGGCTGGGAGGAGGGTAAGTCGGGTCAGTCTTCTTGGAAGGCAGTTCGGCATGAAGTACAAAGAGCTCTTCCGGGAGATGCGCAGAAAGGCGGAAGGCTGGGGCGCACTAGACCCCGCCCCAGCCCCGCCCCTCGCCCCGCCCCTCGCACTCGGACCACCCTGCCGTCCCACACTCAGCAGCCACCCGCCTCTCCTGCGCCACGCAGGGGCCTGTTCCGCCTGCGCTCACTTGCTTGCGTTCTCTCCCGCCCGGTCCCCAGGACACCCCTGCACTGGGCGGCGGCGGCGGGGAAGGAGGCGTGCGTGCAGGCCCTGCTGGACCTGGGCGTAGACAGCGGCCTGCGAGACGTGCACGACGGCACGGCCCTGGCCTACGCGCTCCGCGGCGGCCACGTGGCCTGCGTCCAGCTCCTCTCCCGAGACAGCAGGTGAGTGTGGCGGGGGCGTGTTCCCTCTCCTCCAGCCCCCCAGCCCCCCACCCCCCACCAGAGGGAACTTGCCAGTTCGCCAGCTGCTGTCTGGGTCAGCCCAGCGGGACCCTGACAGCTGCCTTTGGCACTGTCTGCACGCAGTGACGTGCCCTCGACTGGGGAGCCAGACGATGGCAGTGAATCCGTCCACCTGCGTTCGAGGGACTTCAGCCCCCTGGTTCCCTTCGCTCCCTTCCTCTTCCCCTCAGCGCATGGCCTTGCCTCCTCCCTGCCGGTCGTCACACGGTGTGTCCGTGGGCCCTTCACACTCTCAAACACGGCGGAAGACCCCAGAGAGCTCTTGATCATGCGACTTAACACATGCACATCAACCATTAAAACCGAGAGCGTTTTCAGTGTAATGTTTATGTAGCTGTCCATTTAAAGTAACCGTGAGCCCTTTACATTTACATGTTAACACAAACACCATACTCTTGGTTGAAACAACGTGTTACACAGAACACAAAAATACTGTAACAGGAAGAGCCTTGCTGTCCAACGTTGGTTTGCAAACCTCTCTGACATCGGAACAGAAGTTTAGGAGAATTCACCAGGACTCTGCAGCCCCCGAGCTCACTCTGGTACGGCCGTCGTTCGAACCGACGCGTGTGGGAGTGGCCCGGCCTCACGGAAACACGCAGCTGGACAAGGAATGATTCAGTCGCCTTTGCAGGAGCTCTGCCAGCAGCCGTCTGCAGGGTGCACTCCACCCTGTGAGTGTGCGTTTTCTGTGACATTCAAGTCCGTTTGTCTGCACACATGGTGTTACAGCATCTTGCGTTGGTCGTTTGGAAGACACTGGCTCGCTTTGTGACGAGTGTCTTCCAGATGTCACCGGGCTTTGCTGAGATAAGTGACAGGGCCTGTGCAGCCGGTTCGTGCACACCACTGCCCTGATGGGGGCCCAGTTGACCCATCTCACCCGGTATCTCCGCTGCGCCCCTGCTGTGAAGGCAGCGTAGGGAGGAAGACGGTCCTCTCTGTGTCATTGGGAGCACCACGCACCCCACGGCCCCCTGAGGGCTGTCCGGACCGTGTCCCCAGGGCTCACAGCCACACTGGGGGGGTCCACTGGCCCAGAACCCCCCGTAAGAGGACAAAGAGGCGGCTGCCGCAGCTGCCAAAGCAGCATCAGCCCCCAGGCAGGGGGGCGCGGTCCACAGAGGAACTTGAACTTGAAACGGGGCTGGAGACCCCCGGGGGCCTCTCCAGGGGCCCGGGAGCCCCCCAGAGCGTGGAAGGGGGAGACGAAAAGGCCTCCCTGGGGTAAAGGTGCACTCCTGCGCTGTGTGTCCCAACTGCACGCGATGCTCTTCAGGCCGCAGGTCCCAGCATCTGGCTCTCCAGAGCAGGTGGCCGTCTGCCTCTGGGGACGCACCGCAGTCCGGCCGCATCCTCCGCTCAGGCCTCGGAAAGCAGTAGGTCGCCTGCGGCCTCAGAAGAACCGAAGTTTCCGAGGGGCGAACACAGAGCGGTGCCCCAGGGAAGCCCCGCGTGTGCGGCCGCCGCTGACCTTTCTCGCCTGCCGTCCCTGCCGCTCACTTCCCTCCCTCCCACCTCTGGCCCTCCGCTTCCTCTTCTGCGGCTGACGCCCACGGCAGCTTCTCTTCTCCATCTCCATGAGCACCGTTTTCACGGAGTGTGTTCAGTAGGAAACTTAGTGAGAACTGGAAGGGGCTCAGAAAGCGCACCGCCAGCACAAGGTGGGCAGGCTTCCTGGGGGGGGGGGCGTCAGGGCCCCGCCCCAGCCTCCCGGGGTCCCCGGGGCTGTCAGAGGGGCCGAGACCAGGGCCGCCCCTCCGGACTCCTCGGGGCTCCTGCCGCCCAGCAGCTGTGCTGGCCCTCGACCTTCATCTCCGGCTGAGAGCCTGCGTCCTCACCCTGCTCCTGCCTGTCCTTGAGAAGGGAGGGCAGGGGGCTGCCGGCTGTTCTCGGCGGTGAAGGCGGACCATCCGGGGCAAATCTGAAAGGACAGCCTCTGAGCCAGGAGGGACCGGTCCGGGACCCATTCTAACTGGGAGGGACGGGCCGTGTCCAGAAAGCTCCTCTGTGGAGACCTGCGAGTTCCAGCCTGTTCCACCTCACGACCCGTAAACCGGTCCCTGAAATCCGGCAGCACCAAAGAATACATGACATCCTTTGCCGATCCGACAAGAAATCGGTGTGAATTTGATTCATTCACACTAGACGGCTGTTGTGTTGCCTGTGGTCGTTTTTTTAATGTGACAGTCTAAGGGGAAAGAGGCCAGTGCCCCTGACCAAACAGTCGGTGGCGTGTGTTTGAAAACCCGCGGTGGACAGATTGAAGATCGCTGGTCCAGAAGGGGGTTGTGGGTGAGCCCAGGGGCCGGACCGGACCGGGGATTCGGGTGGGGGTGTCGCCACACTCGCTGACCTCACCTCTGTCCCCCGCATTTCACAGAGCGGAGCCTGCTCGCCCGCCGCCTCCCCAGCCCAGCAGGACCCAGAAGAAGGAGGGGCGGTTCGGCGTGCTCAACCAGATCTTCGGCAAAGGCAAGAAGGAGGAGCAGAGGGCCTCTCCAGAGGGCGGCTGCCAGGACGCCCACCGAGGGAAGCCCCCCTCGGAAGTCGATGACATCATCACCACCTTCGACAGCGTCCTGGGTACCAACTGCCAGGAGCAGCCTGGGGATCAGGAGCCCATGGTCGGCTTCAAAAAGAGGACCCCTGAGGATTCAAAACACCTCTGGCCCGAGAAGAGGCCGCTGGCCCGCCAGGGGCTTCCACCAATCAGGACACAGAGCCTCCCGCCCATCACCGCGGGCAACAGCCTCCCCATGGCCTGCTCTGGGGCCCCCTCCAATACCGGCCCCGGCCCCGGCCCCCAGCACACGGGCCCACCGTCTCAGAAAAGCTGGAGCGAGCAGGACTTACTGCACAGCAGGCCGGGCGGCCAGGCGCCGCGGAGTGACCCCAGGCGCGGCGATCCCCGCCAGGGGCTCTGCCAGGTGTGGCCGGCGTCCACGGCCGACCGGCTGCTGTGCGGCAGACCCAGGCCGCAGGACGCCCCGGGGCCTCCGCACCTCCCTCACCTGCACTGCCCCTCAGCAGGTAAAGTGCGGGCTTCCTCCGTCCTCGGTCCGGGCAGCCTCTCTCGAGACGGGTCCTGTCTGGGGAGGGGCTGGGCGACGGCCTCCGGGAGGGCCGGGCCGGGGAAAGTTGGCGGTGGGTGTTTTCTGCTTTTCTCTGTTTCTGATGCCCCTTGAGGACATGGTCGCTGACTTGAGAGAGGAAGGGAAGGAGACAGAGAGGGAGAGAGACATGACGTGAGAGAGAGCCATCCGATGGCTGCCTCTTGTCGCACCCCGACGGGGGATCGAACCCGCTGCCTTTGGGTGTGCGGGACGATGCTCCATCTCCGGGGCTACCTGGCCGGGGACATGCCCCCTTTCCGTCCTGAGCCCCCAGATTCAGGTGCCCTAAGTGACAGCGGGTGTCGTCTGGCCTCTCCCAGCGTTTTGATCACTGGCAGCCGTTCTGGGCCACTGAGTCCCGGGAGCCCGCGGCCTGCACCAGGGCCTTCAGGGGCATGGACTTGCTCGCTGACCGCACCCTGACGCGGCTGGTTCTCTCTTGGGCTGAGGGGTGAGATCGTGTGGTGCTCTCAAGGGGAGGGCTTGGTCATGCGCTCATTCACTGAGTGGCTGTTTAGCGTCTGTCACCCTCATTTATCAAGAGGCATTGTCGCTGTGGCCCAGGGCTCTGAGCCACACAGTCTGGGTAGGCCACGCACATGCTGTCACTTAATTTCTCCGAGCCTTTGCTTCCTCATGTGGAAAAGCCGGGAAAATGCCGCCTGACTCGTCGGGGACAGGCTGCCGTTGGGGCCGGCGCTGCGGTGCGTGGAGTCCGCAGAGCAGAGACTTGAATGCGGTGCTAGACACGCCCCGGTCTGTGGTTTCGTCTCGTCTTTCAGAGAGGGGGGAGGGGGACAAAGAGGGAGGGCGCGTGGTCGGGTGAGAGAGAAACACCCACCAGTGGCCCCTCGCTTTCCCCCGGCTGGAGACGGCCCGCAGGCCGGGCACGTGCCCTGACCAGGACTGGTGACCCTGTGGTCTCAGGCCGGTGCCCAGCCCACTGAGCCACACCCGCCAGGACTCCACTGGGGGTTTTGACCACGCCAGGCCCTGGGCCTTAGGGACCCAGCACGTGCTCTCCGTGTTAAGGTGATGAAATGTGGGCGTTCGCTGCCCCGGCATCTCGGGTCCCCAGGAACCCCACTTCCCAGCCTGCCTTGCCAGCTGCTTCGGGTGCTTTGGGCCAAGTGCCAGGAGACGCAGGTAGAGACCAGGGGCTTGCCATGGCAGCCCCGCCGCCGCCCTGCAGTGGCCCCTTCCCCACGGCCCCCACCCTGCGGCCCTGGCTCCCATGAGCCTCTGGGCTGCGGCAGGACCACCCCTTCGCCTCTTCCCCCAGCCTAGCGGGGTCGGCTCCTGGCTGGGCCGCCTTTCGGCCTGGTGCTGCGTTTGGCTTCTCGGCTTTCCCTTGGCTGGTGTAACCAACGTCTTGCTAACCAACGTTTGAAAAGACCTGGAGAGACCTCTGTTTTCCTGGACGAAGACTGATGGACAAAGCAAGACGCACCACATCTGCAGGCCACTGTTCCTCCCCCCAGATACCACACGCTTGGGCTCCATGGGGCCTTTGTAGCTGCAGTTCACCTGGCCCAGAAAGCCCAGCCCAAGGTGCTCCGAGCCTTGCAGCCCCTCAGTGGCGCGCTGGGCGCCCGGCCGTGGGTCTTCTGCACTGGAGGCAGCAGGGGCACGCGCAGCTCTCCCTGAACCCCAAGTGCCATCTGCCAGTGGCCTCCCCTCGACTGACAGCGCGGCGCAGTCTTCTCAGGAAGTGCGCTGTCCCCCGCAAACCAGGAGGTTCCCCCCGCAGGTTTCCCCCGCGAGCATCCTGACCCAGTTCTCAGTGCTGTTTTCGGGACTGCCCAGGCCTCGGCCCTCCAGGTTTCTTGTCAGGGGCGGTCTTTGTGCGTCTGAGCTCTCCCACTCCGCGTGGGAGTCGAACGAGGCAAAGCAGCCAGTCGGCTACTAGAAATTCTCCCACGGCAGCACTGGCTCGAACTTGGACGGAACTTGGACGGAACTCGGACGGAACGTCGGGTTTTCCCAAACTACAGCAGTAACGTGGGCCCGGAGCTGCTGCCTTCGGGCTCCTGGCGTGGACACCCTGCGCTTGCTCCAGGGCCGGAACCTGAGTTGTAGTGGTCAGCGCCCGGCACTCGCTGAGGCCAGTCGGCACGCTTGATGGAGAGACAGGTGAGGCCCTCGCCCCTGCGGCCGTCGGCGCCTGTCCGCTTCCTCCGTTGCCAGCGGCTTCCAGAGAAAATGGAACGAACGGGAAGCTCCCAGCCTGGTTACCCACGGGCTGCACAAGGAAAGGAAGGACGTGCTGGGCTCCCTCCTTGCTCACGAGACAGCTTCCTTCTCCAGAGCTTTCCAGACCATCCCAGCCAGGATGCACCCTCCACCCCGAGTTGGTCCAGTCCTGAGACCCTTCCGGTCCAGCCTGTCCACCCCAGCCGGGGCTCCGCGTCTCCTGGACTGAGGCGGACAGTCTTCCCAGTGCCCCAGCCCCAGCCTCCCCAGCCTGCCCGGCTCTGTCCCCCGACCTCCGGGAACGGCCCCTCAGACCTTTGCACCCCAGGGCGTCCCTGTTCCTGTCCCGTTCACGGGGTTGGACAAAAAGTCTGTGTGGTTTGTTCCGTAAAATAGAAGACACGTTTTTCATCCTCACCAGTAACTTGATTGAGTTGGATATATTCTGAGTACGTCGGCTCTCTCCCGCCGTTGGCTTCCCGTGGGTGGAGGCCGGGGGGCTGCTCCACACCTTCCAGTGCAGGAGACGGCCCCACAGCAAGGAGTCGTTTGAACAAAATGTCAGCAGGACCAAGGAACTTCACAGACCACTTTAGACACGTTCGATCAGTCACGGCGCCTTCTCCACACACTGCACAAATCCCTTTTTGCATTTCAGTTGCGTTTCTACTTTTCTTGAAATAATAAAACACAATACACTGGAAATGTGTCTCTTCTTCCATCCTCAATATTCAAGTGGCAGCACAAAAATTCACCAATTCTGATCAGTATTTTTAACGCTTGCTGATAGGACAGCTGTTGCAATACAATGTTACAAAATTGTTTCGAATGAAGTCAAAGACCACTAAGCATCCCTGGAGTCATGGGGGGGGCGGGACGAACGTAACAGACATTTGGCCAGTCCAGTAGCCAGCCAGCTTCCAACAGCCTTTCAGGGGCCAGCTCAGAACGCCCGTGGCCGTAAAAGTCACACTGACCTCTGACGTCTTGCTGACTCTGCGTCACGACCGTGCGCAGCTCCACCTTGCTGGGCCCCGCTGCGGCCGTGAGCTGTGCTCCCCCCGCAATGCCGGAGGGGCGTCCGTCCACCTCCTGGAGGTGGAGAAACAGAGGTGCAGAGCGGTCAGCCCGGCACAGCCTGCGCTCTGGGAGCTGGCCGGGAAGCCAGGTCGGGGGCACCGGGAGCCTTGACCTCTGCGCACACCCTCCCTCAGGGCCCGCGTGGGCTTTAAACCAGCCTGCTCGTCTGTCCCGCTGTGCACCTGCCAGCATTTCTGCACTGACCCGGGTTCCTGCTGGCTTGTGGGCAGAAGGCCGGTCAGCGCTCACCCCGCCGCCCAGGAGGGCCAGACGCTGCGCAGGACAGAACCGCAGTGACCGCTGGTGTTGGCTGAGGGGTGACCCTGCACCCCAGATGCTGTGCGTTTGGCCCCCATTTCACCTCTGTGGCAACTTGAAGAAACACACAGTGGTTGTCACCCTTTTACATATGAGGAGTTGAGGGGTCGAGGGGTCGAGTCACTCGCCTGAGCTGGGGACTGAGCTGAATCCTGCCGGAGTCCGGAGTCCGAGCCCCCGGCTGTTGCCCCGCTGGGTCAGCTGTTACAATGGGCCTCAGTCACTCGCACACTCCCTTCCGTGTTCCTGTAAAATCCAGAGTGTGTTGCTAAATGGGTCACAGCCGACCCTCCGGGAGAAGGGTCAGTGCCCGCTCACTTTTGTGATGTAAATGCATCTGCTGCAGCCACAGTCCCGGCCCCACGGTGACGGCCACCAGCTTTCAAAGTCCCTGAAAACCTGGCCATCAGCTCCCAGAGCTGGTGCCTGTGGCCTGAGCACCACACCGTGCCGAGTCTGCCCTGGACCACAGCCGTCCCCTGGGACTGGCACCTGCCTGCACCCGCCCGGGGCGGCGACTCTCAGTCCCAGCTGTCCAGCCCTGGAGGTGCTGGCTTCACTGACCTGAGCGGCGGCACGTCCTTGACCCCTCGGGTAGTTCCCGTGTCCAGCCAGGGCTGAGAGGCCCAGCGCCCACTCATTGACCACGACCAATACGTTATGGCCTATTCTAGTTTCCAAACCTGTAAGTTTTATGGTGTGGGTGGCCCACTGTGCTTGGTTTTAAAATTTTACTTAAACTAGTTCATTCCAAAGTGCCTTTTGATACCTTTTCCTTTTATTTAAACAGCGACGGGCATGTAGTAGGAACCCAGTCAAGTGTAGCTGTTACGCTGTTGTAGTTAGCACCTAAACGGTGGTCTCCAGTGGCCGCGTGGTTCTCGTGCCCACCGTGTTTTCTAGCGTGCACCTGGTGGACTCTTAGATGACTGATGCCAATATGTCTGTCCCCAGGACAACACTTTCAGCACCTGTCCCCAAACGGAACCAAAGTCAGGGACCTCCCTTTCAGCCGGAACAGCCTGGCCCCGCTGCCCAACCACAAACGTGAGTACCGTCTGGCTGCTTCAGCGTCCCGGCCAGTGTGGCGTGTCAGGGCACGGCCGAGTGTCGTTTCAGTTCACTTTCACTTGTCAAGTGGATGCGTGCCGGCTCTTGTGAGTCACAGGAGGACAGGATGGGGACCGTCCTTACAGCTTCATCCAGCTCAGTGATGCTTGTTTTTTTTTAAAGAAAAAGCTCCTTCCCATGAGGGCTGTTTCTCTACACGAACAGTGTGTTTGGCTGCGTACTGGCTCCTGTACTTTAAAACCCTTCTCTCAGGTTGGCCCCTCGGCATGGGTGTGTTTGCCGCGATGGACGGCAGAGGGTCCGTCCCCTTTGCGTCCACAGGCGACGCGTTGCTCTGCAGAAAGGAGGCGTCAGACAGGTGCTGCCCCTCGGTGGTACTTTTGGCATCAATGATTTCTGTTAGATTTTGTACCAAAACGTCACAATGTAAAACATTAGTGGGTCCCATCCAGCTGGTGTTCTTCACGTTTGAGCGTTTGCAAGCATTAGCCGGGGTGCCTGTTGTCCAGCGGAGTCCAAGAGGACACCCGGACACTCTGTCCTCGGGGCAGGGCCTCTCGCCACTCCCACCGCGTGGAGGAGGAAACTGGGATCAGAGGGGCCGCTGGACTCCCAGAGTCAGTGGCAGGGCCGGGAGCACCACTCCGGACGCCAAGTCAGCCGCCTCCGAGACAGGCCCGCTTCCTGGACCCCGTTGTTCTTCCTTCCTCCCAGCCCAGCCACGGGGCACCAAGTATGCCCAGGCCCGAGTGCACATGCTCACACACGCTCACACACACACACACACCCCCTCCACGCCTCTTGACTGCAGCAGTTAGGGGACATAGGAGCTGCCCGACGCCACATACCTGGCAGCTGTCCGCCAGAGCAGGCGCCCAGTGTGCCCGCTCCGCCCCAGCCTGCGCTGTGGGGGGGCCGGGCCAAGTCCTGGAGCTCTCCCGGTGACACCAGCCAGCCAGGGCGTCTCGGGAGGACCCTCCGTTATTGCAGAGAAGGACAGGGAGCAGTGGAGGGATGGTCCGGTGTCACCGAGAGCCAAAGCAGCCCAGGCCTCGGCCCTCTGCCCTTCAGGGTCTGTGCAGAGTCCCTAGTGGTCAAATGCAGTCACTGGTGCAGGTCGAGCCCAGTCCCGTCTTTAAGCAGAAACCAAGCTCAGGTGTCTCAACAAAGACAGCCCCTCATCTGCCTGGAGCACAGGCGGGGCCCTGAGAGGCCCAAGGAGGGGATTGTCTTTGGCAGGGCCCAGGTGCTCGGCTTTTCACAGTTAAATTTCAGGAAAGAAGGGAAGATAAAGATTTTTGATCAGCTCAATGGGAAAGAAATGGAAAGGAAGGTAGGCGGTGCTCTTCCTGAAAGAAACTCAAGAACCTTGGACTTTGCATAAAAGCAAAGCCCGCAGGCCTCAGGGCTGGTGAAGAGCTGATGCTGGCTGGCCATCCGCGGCCCCCTCCCCCCCTGCTCCCCACCCCGCCCCGTGAGCTCTCCCCGGCCGCACAGCCCACGACCTGTGTCCCTGTGTACTGGACATCACTGAGCCCACCTGGCCAGCTGACACACACACGCGCAGCCTTCTCCTGCAGCCCAGCCCCCACCCCCACGTGCTCCTTAGACTTGCCTTCGCTCCTGGAGGAAGAGCCCCCTTCTCCCGCCGCCACTCCTCACGGGACCCCGAGGGGGCCGCCTCCGAAGGTGTCTGCTCTGTCTCCTCCCCAGTTCTGTCGGGAGGGCCTCTCCGAGCCAGCCGGGTGCTTCCCGCCATTCGGAGCCACCGGGTTGCGAGCCCAGCAGCTCGAGGGAGTGACCACGCTGCCGCCACCCCCACCGCAGATGGAGACTGAGCGCGGCCCGCCGGCGCGGACTGCGTGCACTTTCCCCGGTGCCAGGAGCAGCGTCCTCTGGCTTGTAGGGGCAGAGGCTAGCTTCGCGGACTGCACTCAGTGAGCCATGCACAGTTTTGTAACTCTGAATTCTTTATTCCGAATAATGGCGTTTCCCACAGAAGCACCCAGAGCCTCTGACTGTGCCTTTATTGTAAGCCTGTGCGTCTCTGGACTTCACCACGCCCCCACGAAACGCCAGGTTACGCATCAGCGGGGCTCCAGGCTGCGTCTGGCTCGCTGTGTGTCCCGGGCTGCTGTTTATCCTGGATGATGTCACGTTTTGTTTTTCGGAGTCTGCTTTGCTGAATAACAAACAGAACAGCACATTCTGCCATTGTTCCTCGCATTTATTGTGATTCTGCCTTGTCATGATGAAATTTCGTTAAAATTAAAGTAGTAAATTCCTTACCTGGTCACAGTTTATGACTTTTAAATGTGTGGTCTCTGGCCAAACATTTTCTAGCCCTGTTCACCCCTGGCTGCAGCCCAGGTCTCGGGGCGTCTCTGGGCCTCCTTCGTTCTCAGCGACCTCCACGTTGGGGCGTTCTCAGACCTGACTGACTGCATGCAGGGGAGGCGATCTGAGTTGGGCAGGTGTACGTCTCGGCCCACGGCGTGGAGCAGACGCTCCTCGCACATTCCTCACATTCTCCACGCGTTCACCGGGTGTGAGCCCGTTCACGGCGTCTCCAGGGTTGTGACTTGGTGAGATTTGATGCTGACTGCGGGTCTCCCTGCTAGGACGTCTGTGTGCTGTCTGGACTGATCTGAAGTTCAAGGCTGAGCTGCGGAAGGTCAGAGTCGCTCCCTGGTGTTTTTGAGCAAGTGTGCTACTCTGTGCTACCTCACCACGTGCAGCGCCCGCCGTTTACAGCAGCGTGGTCGGTTCAGGGAGCTCAGACTCGACAGCAGCCCCCAGCTTTGCCCTGCTGGAGCGCTGCGCAGTGCCTGGCACAGAGGAGGCACCTGACTGTTTCTCATTTTTCAGGAAGGAGGGAGGGTAGGAGGTCAGGAGCCGGCGAGGCGGAGAGATGGGGAAGTAATCCCGAGAGGTTATTCCACGCAGTCTCGTTTGTGCTGAATGAGGGACCGGGAAAGGGGCGCCTGGGCCTCAGCCTCCCAGCCAGGCAGCCGCCGAGCGGGCAAGTCCTGGTGCCGTGGAGGAGCGCTCGGGACAGGCTCCGTCCCCATCTGTGAAGACGTCACTCCGGGAATCTGTGCGGCCCTTCCCCGTGTCACCTGGCTGCCTCTGGACCTGCCCCTGCATTCGGTCGCCTGCTCTCCATGGCCCACGGCGTCAGGGTGGGTGTCACTGGGAGACGGCCCCCAAGCCTCATGGGCCGACACACTTGTCTTTGCATCTGCCGCCATGGCTGACTGGTCTCCACTTTGCCACGCGTCTCCTTGGCGCCCGGCGGGTCGGAGACAGGAGGTGAGCCTCATCGCCGCCTCTCAGACTTCGTTTGCCACACGGAGTCGTGTAGCCACACCTTGCTTCAGGGGGTAGAGAAAGGCGCTCCTCCTGCTGTCAGGGAGAGGGGGGACGGGAGGGGTGTGACGGACCCGAAACTCAGGCCCCGAAACTCAGGCCCCGAAACTCAGGCCCCAAGTGAGCGTTTAGTGGTCCTGGTTTGCCCCTGCCGAGTGGAGAGCTAAGAGGTCAAAGCAGCTGGGAAGGGGACAGAAGGGGACGGGGGAGAAAAGAAGGGACGCCCACGTGTGGCTGTGCACCAAGCCACATCACTGAGCAGGGCGCCTGCACCCACACACTGAGAATCGGCTCATGCTGGGCCCTGGAGGGGAGGAGCCTTTCCCGCCAGGCTCCTTCCAGAACCTTCCGTAGCTGTGAAGAAGTGGCGCCGCTGGCCCCACCTCTGTGAGTAGAGAGTGGCTGTCCTCTGGCCACCAGGGCGGGCGCCCTGCTGGTTCGGGGCAGGTCCGTTCTCGGCCGGGATCTTACTGACCAAATCGGAGGTTAGGTATCCCCCGATGTGCACAGAGCTTTTAAAAATCTATTTTCTTAGGAAATGATTCTCTTCTTGTTTCATCACTTATATTTCCATTCGTTGCGAGGGACAGGTTACTTACACCCATCAAAACCCTACCTTTGCAGGCACTGTCCGGTCTGGTCGCACCGCAGCCCACACCCCCCCCCTCCCCGCACTGGCCGGAGCCCCAGGCAGAGGGAGAGCTGCGGCCACTCACTCCAAGTCAGGCAGCTGACGGGGGCAGAACAAGATCAGCGGGAAATTCCTTGGCCCCCAATCCACAGATAGCCCCCCAATCGCCCTTTTCCTGCTCTGGAAGTTCCTTGGGGGGAGTGTGGGAGATTCTGTGGATGGCCGTTCAAGCATCGACAGCTGGAACCCAGCCACGGTGTGAGCGCCCACGCCCTGGGGATCGGCAGGCACCTCGAATCCGGCACCGTTTTAGTCGGTCGAGATCTGTTCACCCTCATATCCCTGGAAGTGGGTTTCCTGGGGAGATCGTGCAGCGTTAAGAGGACGTTCGTTAATTTAAAGCTGTGCTTTGGAAACACTGACATGGGGGGGACGGGACTCGTTGCCCGTGTCCAGAGCACGCCCGACACGCCTGCGTTGCACTGGGTCGGCTCCCACACTTCCCAAGGAAACCCATGACACACGTGCCCGTGACTCGCCGCCGGGCGGGCTTCCCTCCGACGCACCGGGTGCGCTCCCGCGGCTGCTCCAGGGGGAACGCCCTCTCTCCCGGGCACCGCGGGCACCACGCGGCTCAGTGTGGGCAGCTTTCTGTTCAAGGTGGGGAGCCTGGTCAAAAGTGGGGGGCGCTCTCTGGGGCCACAGGTCTGACCTTGTCACACTGCCCCCCACACTAAAACCCTCAGGAAATGCCTGTGTCCCCAACCATCCTCGTGGCTAAGAAATAAACGGCCATGGCGAGGGACACGTGGTGTGCTGTGCGCCTTGTGCAGGCTGCCCTGGGACCCGGGGGAGGATCGAGGGCCCCGCTCACGTTCGCCTGCCACGTCCGTCCACGGTGGGCCTGCCAGGCGAAGGAAGGGCTTTTGTGCGGAACTGGAGGCGCGTGCGCTCCATGGCTCTGTGGGGGCCCCAGCTGGTCACTCCATGTTGTAAGGAGAACGGTCCATTTAAATCGTGTGACCCATGAACTCAGACAGGACACAAATGGCGGGAGGGGCCCCTGGGGATCTGCTCTCGGGCCAGGATCGGGGAATCAGCTCCTTTTCCAAAACCGAGTCTCTGTCCTTGCCTTAGCGTGCTCTGGATGGGCAGCGACGACCACGGAGCATCGATGCATTCACTCACTCATTCATTCACTCACTCATTCATTCACTTACTCACTCATTCATTCACTTACTCACTCATTCATTCACTTACTCATTCATTCACTCACTCACTCATTCACTCACTCACTCATTCACTCACTCACTCATTCATTCACTCACTCACTCATTCACTCACTCACTCATTCACTCACTCATTTACTCATTCATTCACTCACTCATTCACTCATTCACTCACTCATTCATTCACTCATTCATTCACTCATTCACTCACTCACTCATTCACTCATTCATTCACTCATTCACTCATTCATTTACTCACTCATTCACTCATTCATTCACTCATTCACTCATTCATTTACTCATTCACTCGCTCACTAGTTCATTCACTCACTCAGCAGGCATTGGTCCTTGGCACCGGGCTGTAGAAAAAGAACACAGGTAGTGTAAAGGAAATTCTATGAGATTTAAGTGATAAAATCCTCCTATATTTACTAATGGAAAAATGTCATTACTTAAGCTACGGACCCTCTGTTTTGAGTCTTTATTTTTCCTGGCTGTGATTTGAGCCCAAAAAATTATTTAATAAAACCAGATATCATCTCAAAAGTGTTTCTCGACTTTTTTTTTTATATTGTCCTCGGATAGAGGACGTATCAGATATTAAACTGATAAGAACAGATACTACACTTGATCTTAGCCAAGAAGCGGTCTGTTTAGGCCGAGAAGCGATCTGTTTTTCGACTTTTATTCCCGCTCTCGGCGACAGTGTCAAAGCCGCAGTCTCGGAGCCCGAGAGAAGGAGAGGAGGTCACAAGGCTCCAGGCGTGAGCTGACCCGAGGGAGGGTGGGAGCGATGAGCCTGACCGTCACCACGGCCGTCCTGCCGACCCTGGCGCTCAGGGCCCGGGCCTCCCAACGGCAGACCCCAGGGCCAGAGGGTGTGCAGGGTGGGCCCGGTTGCACCAGGGGCACGGCCCCGCCGGCCCACAGTCCCCCATCACCCCCACATCTCCTCCCAGGAGACCCAGTGGGGGAGGAGCGCCCACTCCTGAGCCGCTGGGAACAGGAGCCAGGGAACTGAGCTGACCCGCCCCAGCCCGGCCCACCCCATCAGGGCCGCCCAGCCCAGCCCAGGTCCCCACTTTCCCTTCAGACCGATTACCCAGCGAATGTTGGGGGCACTGACCCCCAAGACACAGCATCTTCATGGCTTACCCATGACTGGCTCTCTTCATGCAAAGCTTTGAACACACCTGCTCACAGAAGCCAAACCAGCTAAGCCAAACCAGCTGAGGGCCATGTTTCTGGTCCTGCCCCTCCTCGCCCACCCTGGGGGCACGCTCGTCAGCCCCAGAGGAGGGAGAAGGAAGAGTCATGGGCGCCAGAGCCGTGCCCTGCGAGGGAGTCTGGTCTGCGGGCTGCCGGGCTGAACCAGCCACACGCAGACAGCGAGCCCTCGGCTGCGTCCTCCGTGCCAGGCCAGTTCCCCGCGAGAGAGGGCACGCAGGACAGACCGTAAGGATGCTTCTCAGGTGTGTGGCACCTTCAACATTCAAAACTTACCTTTACCAGCCCTGGCTGGTGTGGCTCCGTGGACTGAGCATCAGCCTATGAACTCAAGGGTCTCTGGTTCGATTCCCAGTCAGGGCACAGGCCTGCACTGCAGGCCAGGTCCCCAGTAGGGGGCGCACAAGAAGCATCCACAGGTCGATGTTTCTCTCCTTCTCTCCCTTCCCCTTGGTCTAAAAATAAATAAGATCTTTTTTTTTAAGTTACCTTTACAAACCACTTGAAAAACAGGGTCACTTTAAGAAAATGAATTCTTTGCTCTGATTTTTTTTGTTACTTTCAGTGGGTTCCACTGACATGAGTGAGTGCCCTTTCTCAGTTACACTGATTCCGGAGAACGTGCCTTCCTGACAGTTTCTAAGAGAAAAATGAGGGGATGAAAGAGAAAGGCCGTGCAGACCCTCAGACACGTGTCTTCACAAGACAGGCTGGCCCTTCCGACCTCACTAGTGTCCTCTGTCATGTGAGGAAAGTCCTTGCTAACACGGACCACGGCGTCTCAACAAAAGGCTCCCTGGGAAGCAGCAGAGCCCCCCACCCCCCGCCCCACCCCCCACGCTGGCCGTGGTGTTCAACAAGCGCCCGCCAGCTCCGCCCGTGGCCCACGCGCCCGGCCCAGGTGCCGTGAGTTTTCTCAGCAGCCGTGAGCACCCCCACTGCAGGTGGGGGCCCCTGTCAGGGCGGATGAGCTCGGTGTCCCCGTGTCTGCAAGGCCGGAGCCGACCTCGTTCACGAGTGTCAGCGGAGGAGACGTCCGGACCCGTGAGAATCCCCACGTGTTTACTTCAGCCAGACCGATGGCAACTGCTGGGAAGCAGAGGCCCCACCGGGGTGGTGACTCTGTGGGCGGCAGGTCAGGGAGGCGGGAGAGAGCGCGGCAGGGAACCCCTGGGATGGGACAGAAAGGAGAAGACGGACACCTGCTTCCTCTCCACAGGTGGGTGCAGGCGAGGTGACAGTCGGCAATCAGCGGGACAACAGTAACCTCGAGGGGGTGGTGGTCACAGCCCCAGGGGGCTGATGCAGGGGGGAGGGGGTCCGGAGAAGGGGTGTCGCCTCCCCCCAGGGTGTGCGATCTCAGAGGCAGGGGACAGCAGCCAAGCTCAGGGAGGTGGCGACTGACTCCCGTCTGCGGGGCTCCGGCCCAGGACGGGGCGCCCACTGCGGACCCCCCCTCCGTGGTCTCCCTCTGAGGGGTGAGGCGCCCGCCAGGTGTGGGCCTCGGCCCCTTTTGTTCACACGCGGTGCCCCGGCGACAAACGCATCCACTGCCCCGGCTCTGGTCTCTGACTCCACCCCGCCGCTCACCCAGAAACCCCACAAAACCGGTCCCCAGTTCTGGCCTGCCCTGCTGCTAATGACCCTGGTTCCGCTGGGTCCTGGTTCCTGTGAGGACTGAGGCAGGACGAGGGAGCAAATGGAACCGCTGAGTTCAGAGGGACTCCTGCGGTGGGCGGCAGGGACCCGCTGCTGGTTGGAGGAAGTTCTCCCGGGGGCTGAGGGTGGGCAGGGGCAGCGGGGTCGCCCACCTCGGGCGGGGCGGGCCCAAGGGCTGGAGGTGGAGTGCAGGTCTAAAAAGGAGCGGCCTCCCCCCCACCCCCACCACAGCGGGGACGGCAGGGGAGAAAAGGAGAAGCAGGAGCCGCTCCGTTGCCCGGAGTCCTGGGCCCCTGTGCCCCTCGGGAGGGCTCCCAGCTCCCTGCTGGGCCAGGGCCACAGAGAAGGTCACGGCCGCGTGCAGCCAGGCCAGGACTCCAGCCCAGGGAGCTGGTGTCGACAACCTGTCTTCCTTGCTTGTCAGAAAAGCAAGATGGGGCCCTGGCTGGGGTGGCTCAGTGGGTGGGGCACCAGCCTGTGCACACGGGGTCACTGGTCCGATTCTCAGTCAGGGCACATGCCTGGGTTTGGGGCCAGGCCCACAGTGTGGGGGGTGCATGAGAGGCCGCCACACAGGGACGTTTTTCTCCCTCCCTCCCTTCACCTCTTTTTATTCTATAAATAAATAAATAAAATCTAAAAAACCAAAATTAGACGGAGGAAACCCGAAGGTCTCCTTTTAAGTGGCTTCACCGAGCGCTCCCTGCGTCGGGCAGCGTCCCGTCCAGCAGCCAGAAGGGCCTCGCAGGGGCCGAGCCACGTGGCCGGTCTTCTGGGAAGGAGGGCAGGCGCGGGGCTGTCAGTGAAAGAGAAGATGGGCCATTTGGGGCCCTGGACGTCCTGGGGGGGCAGTCGCAGGTTGTCCAGCAGGCTGTCCCTTTGGTCCACAGGGTCAGAAGGGGGCGGAGAGGCCCAAGTGACAGGCGGCCCCACGGGGCCCCCAGACGGGCCGCTGTAGGTGCTGTTTCTGGGAGACGCTGACAGCTGCGTGGTCAGGACAGCGTCTGGTTTCGGTGTCACGGCTGCAGCACAGGTGCGGTTTCCGGTGAACGAGCCCCCGTACGCGCCCGAGGCTCAGCCCACCACACCCCCCTCCCCCGGCTCCCCCTCCCCCCCGGCTGCCCCAGGCCGCAGCCCACACCGCAGGCTGCGCTTCTGCCCTTTCGAGTGAAACTGCGTCTGCAGCGGCCGGCGGTTTGGGCCGAGGTCCCGGCTGACCCTGACAGGCAGTGTCTGGGATGCATCCGCCTTTGCACACCTGGCCCGGGGCAGGGACCCAGGTAAGGACGGAGGCCCTAGAGCAGAGTGGTGGGCGACTGTGGTCAGAGTCCAGTGGCCGGAGACTCAAGCGGACGTGAAGGTTGCCGGGAAGCAGGCCGTGCCGCCCCTGAGAGTCGGGCTGGGGATCGGCGGCTTTGCTGCTAAGATCTGGCTTTTCTGGGAAGGCTCCGTGTGGTCTGCGTGCACACAAGAGTCTGGAGGAACCGGAGGGGCCCGTGGCTTGGCTGGTGCAGCCGCCACTTCTTCAGAACTGGGCCGGGAGCCCCCGCTCTGTCTCCTGCAGAGTCAACCTGAAACTGCACTGGGGGATCCCGGAGGCTGAGCCGGCCTCCGTGGTCAGGCCTCTCCTCCCACCGGCTCCCAGATGCCCAGACCTGGACCCTGGGGCTGCCTGTGAACGTGGCCACCGGGGCTTCTGGGGACTCGGCAGGCACCTCTCCCTGTCCTGCGTTCACCTGAGCGTTAGAGTTTGAGGTCCTGACACGCTCACGGCTTCAGGCCCCTTTGCTCTGATATTTAACCACTTCATCGCCGTGGCTGCCCCTGCACTGCAGGACCGGAGGGGAGGGGGTGGCGTGGGGCCTTCGGTGACCTCTCAGCCACGCCGCGATTGCCAACCTGCAGCCGGCAGTGCCCCTGGCATCCCGCCTCCCTCCCCACACGTGGCCCGTGGCTCCTGGGCCCTGAGGGAGAGGAGACCTGGTGATACTCGCTGGGGACTCGGGGGAGAGGAGCAGATCGGGGGGCGCACGGCCACTGCTGCCCCCGTCTTCCCTTCGGGTCTGCCTGTGCCGCTGGGCAGGAGGAAAGCCCGGGGGGCCAGAGCCGGCTCCCTGGGAAGCCCCCAGGCGTAGCCGGCCGACAGGTCCTCTGGAGGGGACTGGGAGTGGCCCTGCCAGCACAGGGGCAGCCTTGCGACTTCCCATCTGTGGCTCCCAGGCTGGGCTTCTGGTTGAGCCCAGCAGGGAGGCGGGCGGCAGGTCCCCACTCCGACTCTTCAGAGAAGCAGCCGTCCTGTGTTCAGCGGGAACCACGAGCCCGCTGGCGTCCTGAGACCTCGTCCCTCACCAGACGCCACCTCCCTCTGCCCTAAGGCGGCAGAACGCACGTCCCTCAGAGGAAAGCGCCACCTGCTTCAATGTCCTTCATGGGTGGCTGTCCGCCCCACGAGTCCCAGGGCCCCGGGGACGAAAGGCTCTTCTGGAAACACGGTCGTGCGGAGACGGGCTCTGGGACCAGGGCACCTTCAGAACCTCTCCCTCCACCTGTGAGAGTCTGGTTACACACACGTGTGCCACACACACACACAGAGACGCCATCACGTAGCAAGATGAATTCTTCTCCGCAAACACTACACGATCTCCATGTGACCCACTTTTTGAAGATGTAAGTCTCAGCCGAGTGTGACCGTGAAGGCGACTTCAGCCTCGCCCACCACGCCACAGCCAACGGAGACCGTGTCCCCAGGCCCAGGACAGTCCAACACGGTGACAGTTCAGGACA